AGTGTAGACAGTGTTAAGAATTGCACCTTAGAGGTCCCTGATTTAGAGTGGATTCCTTTATTGCTGAGAGAGGCGAGGCATTCCTGACGCATAATAAAGCGAGAGGAACCAAGGCCGACAAGCGTATATTCACTGGGATTTATTATAAGTGAGGAGCATTCCACTTGAAGTGAGTGTAATAAAACTCAACCTTAAATAGCTGATGAAGTAAGATAGTGCACAAACAAAATGGAGAAAAATACATCCCAAGTGTTATTTTAAAAATAAATAGTTATAAAATAGTCCATAATACAATCTGAATTCAAATTCACTACAAGTATTTATCCTTTAAATACACCTTAAGAACCAAAGCAAAATAAAAAGTTGTAAAATTAATGTTGATGCCTGTCAGCTTGTTATGGTCAAGCAACGCCCAGACTCTTGTTACATGCTGAGCAGTTAGTCCGGAGTTTAGTGATGCTTCCATTTCCAGCATTCACTTTGGGCAAGCCTGTGAAGTAACCAGCTGACATCTTCAGTCAAACCATACATCACTACTGAAATCAAACTTGAAAATTTTTCTGTGTAGCTGTTTCTTGCTAGACTAAGTTTCCTCTTTGTCTTTCGGATAATTATTTTCTTGCTGATTTGCTTGCCTGAATCAGTGTTCTCTGGGTCTGCTTGGAGCTGCATTCAATCAAACCAAACTGATGAACAAAGTCATGACTTGGTTCAGTGACATGTTGCTGTGGTAGCTCCAGCTACACTAGTAAATAGAAACAGAAATAACCTCTTTTTCGGTGTCCTGGAACTCCTACTCATTGAATATGTTTAATCCAACAAACGCCACTTTACACACTGATGATGAAGAAATACAAGTCAATGGGCTACAACATTACTCTGATGCACACGACTTAAAGGGCGATAATTAAAACTCTCCTGGGATTCTCCTCATAGAGGTTCTTTAATCTCTGAGATGAGAGGAATACAAAGGGAGAGTATGTCCCACTCTGAAGCCAGGAGAGAAAACACCGTGTGTCTTGGTGTGGTAGATACGTCAAGACAAGTGTAGAAAGTAAGTTAAGGACAAGGGCAAGTGTCAAATCTGTTCAGCTTTTTTCTGGGTCATTCAAATCACCTCAACATCACTGCACCCAATTCTCAGTCTTGAGCTAGTGCTACCAACACTAGAAGAAGGATGGCATTTAAAATAAAAAGGATGGCATTTTGAAAATCAGTTTTCTTACTTATTTTTGTAAAGGGTGACATATTTCTAGAAAAATAGACATTGTACAAATTTAATTGCAAATTTATCTTGAGCAATAAGGAGTTTAGACATTGTGTAATGTGTAAATAGCTCCTTGTGCTAAGCTAAATGTGTTTCATTTGTCAGAGGGACACCTGCCCTGTCTGCAAGGCGGGAGGAATACTTAGTGTGTGCACATTAGTCACCAAAATGCAAAAGTGTCATAAGACAGCCTTATAGCAAATTCACATGTCGCATATAGGTATACACATAATAAATAAATACAAATGAGACAACCAACAAACCAAAAGCTATTGTGCCTGCTTCATAAAGCTACTGAAAATTCTGAAAAACGCAAATTAATTAAATGAATAACAAAGAATATTTACAAAACAAAAGTGCAAAGGCCAATGTCTGGCTTAGTTGTTCACCAAACTTTTTTAGGGTTTAGACTTCTGGGAGTCTGTTCAGTTCTGAACAAACTGCCGCCAACACCATCTTGTGGACAAAGGAGGTATGTAATAAGTTTCTCAGAAATGCTGAAGAGCTGAACCATATCTAAGACATAGCCATAGAAATTGCTTATAAACTCAGAATCAAATGGTAATTTGTATAGGCAGTATATTGTGGAGTAATTCCTTAAGCTTCGTAGTAGGCAAAATTTCAATCTTCAACTATATCGTGAAAGACAGAAAAAAAAGCACAAGAGGTCAAAGTCTTTAAATGGCTCTGATCAAGGTAAGATGTGGAAAATCTCAAGCCAGACTGCTTCTGTTGTGATTGGAAGTAATGGTCAACGCTTTCATGTGGAAAGGTCATTCTTCTCTCTTTTCTTTTGACTGTAAAAGCCAGCAAAATGAACTGGGAATAGATCTTCTCTACATAGGAACATTTCTAACTAAAATTGCTACCTGAACTGGCATAAAATTTAAAAAGAATCCTAAAATCCTTGTTGATGGGAAAAAACCAGTTGTAATATTGTCATCATGGCCTATAATTATTTTGTATTTAAACATATGTGTAGTACGAATGAGAGAAAACTAATAATTCTTCTTCTTGCTAAAGACAACACCCGAAGTAAACAGTTTTTTAATTATTTTTTTTAATGAAAGAAATGGTTATTTAGAGGGACATTTCCTATTCTACTTGGGGGACCAAATTATCCTGTTTATTTTTATCGAAGGGTTGAGCACCTGCCAATCTCTTTGTTATGCTAGTTAGACTGAGTGTTCCTTGTAGCCCTTTGTTATAAATAGAGCTGAGGCCAAAAAAGAAAAACAACTTTCCAAGATGAGTGAGGGTTTGTGCTATGTAATCTCAGGCCCCTCTCTCTGGTTACATCAGACTTCGTCACATGCCCCAGTTTAAAAATGAGCTTGAATCATGGTGACAGGTCACTCTCAATATGTATCATGTAACATTTATCCCCTCCTCAAGTCACATGAATCAATCTAAATCCTTGAAACAGAAATAAGTCAGCCTCACAATCACAGAAATTAGAAAAAGGAAAAATAATAACTATACCACTTATAAGAAAGGTTTCTGTTCTGTGGAACTGAAGTGAATGCAATTGAATATAATTTACAAAACAAGAAATCTTTTTATACATATGAACTGATCAATAAAAAAACCCAAATGCATTGATCACCAGTCACATGTTCATGAAAATATTAAAATTATGAAATAAATATGTTTGAATAAACCAAAAAGCAAAAGGATAAATAGCTTGTCAATTAATATGAAAAATAATCTTTGAAAACATATAAAAGTCTTAGCTTTACAGCAAATTCAAGTAAATTAATATGTGCCAGGTATTTTGTAAGTTTTCAGAAAAGTTAACAAATTGAAAGCTCAAAATATACACATAGCACCATCTTTTCACCTTATGTACATGGGGGGGTAGACTGTCGTTTGATTATGAAGATACATATACAAATGTCTGCATCTTCCAATTGCATGAGTTTAAAACACAGCACCATTGCAGGTATTGCATAAGAAAGAAAATAAAAGAATAAGCAACAAAATGTTTAAAACATTGGGAATAAATAAAGTAGATTTGGAAAATAAATAAACTTGGATGGAAATACACAGCGAAAACTCAATATTAAATACCTAAAAAGCTATATTTATGCACAATTATGTTGACGGCACCCGGCCAGCAGCTCATCTATTTGTAAGGAAAGCCAGTTCAAATTATGGGTGCGTTTGAACAAACTCTGCCTTACGTCAGGCATGCTTCCCGGGAAAACCCTTCACAGCTTTCCCCACTCTCAGGGGGCTTGCTTTCCTAAATTCACTGCCTGCTTTAATTAGTAGGTAGAAAACACCGTCCTATCCTGTGGAATATGTGCTGCTCCTTGAGGTGTGAATTAGTCTCTGTGACCCGAGGGCTCTGGTGGTGTGCACTCAGCTTCCGGGGAAATCCAATGAATTAGATCCCAGCAACGTCTGTCCTTGTGCTAAATATTCTAGACAAGCAACAAAAAGTTGCTCCAAACAATGAATGGGTAGGGAGTATAAAATACTGTTGGATAATTCAGCTAACCCCACTGGAGTTTTGCTTTCTTTTAGAGCATATGTTTGTTTATTTATTTTCTCCCCCGGAGCTGAGGATGGAACCCAAGGCCTTGAGCTTACCAGGAAAGTGCTCTACAACTGAGTGAAATCTCCAAACCCAGAACACTGTAAGCATGGAGTGCCTTTCACGTAGAATCTTCATGTTTTCTTTGCAGAACCGGACTCTTTCTAAACAGACATCCATGATTCTCCTTAGGATGGTGTGTGCTCCACCTATTCATTGGCTGGCACTTCACCCTCACTTTGCAAGGCGAGGACTCTTCTGTTTCTGTCACTACAAGTCCTGTGCTTTGCCCTAATGGTGGGTCTGGGGATCACAAAGTCAGAAATAATTTATGAAAGAGCACAAAAGTCTTGCCAGGCTACTAAAGTTTGTAAAAATCCAAAGACTTGGTACTTTGACTTTACCACCAAACACCTCTTAGGGAAAAACCATTTTCTCCATCACTGGAGACTCATTGAAGTGAGCATAGGGTTAGTTTGGTTCCTTCTTTCTCTTGTAGCATATGTTCAATGTCATGAGGAGTACTTCAAATTGAGCTCACAGCAAGGAAGACGCAAAGTCATTTCGACGGTTAGCTATGCTCAGTTTGGGGGCTCCCTGATAAAGAGTCTCCCATAGTTTGTCATTTGAAAAATAACTTAAAAGTGGATCTCTTATTGCCTATTTTTCTGTATAAATAGAATGAATGTAGAATGGTATAAGACTTCTCATAAAAAATCAGTCATAGGACAATCAACAGCAGTAATATGCTGTCTCAATCTCAAAAGAGCAGAAAAATGACTTTCAAGCAACAATTGTAAATTTAAATATGAAGAAAATATCAATATAAATTTCAAAAATTCAAGTTCAGAAATCAAAGTCTAACCATGTTGATGAGTTCACAAATCGTATGTCGTCTGTGGCCCATATCACCTCATGGGATTTCTTCTGAAGAACCCGTGACAGGCTCGCTTGCATTTTCATACGAAACTGAGTAGAACTCATGGCCACAGTAAAGCAAAATCACACAGAACGAAGTTGGGAAACATCTGAAAATACTGACTTCCAATTACTGTCAGGATAGGATTCAGATGGTGGCTTCAGACGTTTGCGCCACATCAGAGGCAAAAAAAAAAAAAAAAAAAAAAAAAGCAAAGAAAACCGATCCAGAAATCATAGGCCTTGACAGCACGTGGCTGTAAGGCACGGATCAACGGCTCCAATGGCACGGCGATCTCACCAGGAACGAGTCTTCTCTGTAGTGTTCATTTTCCACCTGCCTTCTGCTGGGCAGAAGTCATAGGATAGAGGCAGTCTTCTGGATTACACCTTCCACTGGGGCCTGGGGGTCCTTGAGGCCCTGGGGCCCCTGGTGAACCTGGCAAACCTGCTGCCGATGAAATAAAATACACCGTGAGAATGCCGCTCACATGCGATCCTGCCTGTCCGTGTCTCCCCCCCCCCCCACACACACACCCGCCATAGGCCATTCAGCTGAACGGGTAAGGCCCACGGGGGCGGGTGGGGGGGGCGGGGAAGAGGCTCATCTTTTAGAGGCCTGCATGCATAAAGATAATATGTCTATTACCTGAAGATCCAGGAAGGCCTGGACTCCCTGGCAGCCCAATCCCAGGTTCTCCTCTTTCCCCCTTCTGTCCTCGGTAGCCTGGGTGAGAGATAAACACAAAGAGAGATAAGAAAACATGAGTATTCAACACTGGCATGCTCGTGGAAGTCCTGTGTTCTGAGGCATGTTGATTCTTCACTCATTATACATTAATATTCATTTCACATTATCAAACATGAGACACAAATGAGTACAGTAATGCATGAAGGATCTGATAACTATGCAGCTAATATCTAAAGTTAAAACAAACCAAGCTTTTGATAGTGAGTCTTACTTTTAAAAATAATAAAAATAGGCCCTACAGGGGTGGCCCACACCTTTAATCAGCACTTGGGAGGCAGAGGCAGGTGAATCTCTGTGAGCTCAAGGCCAGTCTAATCTTCAAAGCTAATTCCAAGACAGTCAGGGCTGTTGCACAGAGAAACTCTGTCTCAAAAAACAAAAGCAAAAAAAAAAAAAAACAAAAAAACAAACTAATAATAATAATAAATCTTTAAAAATGCATTGTAAGTACTTTGGAGACTTCTCAATCTTTCACAATGTGGCAGATAAAATTTCCGGTCCTTTACATTTATAAACGGTCACAGTAAAGCATATTTGTGTTGTTATCTTAACTGATTTGACTCAAATTTCTATTTTGCCAACCTTGAAATTGTGAGTTGTTTGTTCCTTTTATTTCATTTAATTAATTGATTATTTCATTTCATAGAGTCTATATTGTTATGCTGTCTTGTTCTCATATGAAATAGAATTTATTTCTGTATATTTCTTTCCTATTTTTTGTATGTAGACTCCATCAGAATTTCTGTTGAAGAGAGCTCACACACCTATCATAAACATATAAGAGGAGATAGGAACAACATATTTAAGGATATATCTATAGTACCAAAATTCTCATTATTAAAAGCTTGGTTTGTTGGTACTTTATATATTAGCTGTGTATCTGTAAGATCCTCCATGTTTTATTGTATCCAACTTGGTATTTATCTTTACTATATTATAAATATGAAATAGAAGATTAATATATGATGAGAGAAGCAGCAGTGTACACAGCATGAGCTCAGAAAATAGCCTGGATTCTGAGGGTGTTGCTTTCATATGGACAGACAGACAGACAGACACACACACACACAGAGTGCTCAGCTTCCCTGGTTCTGGTTCACTAACTGACTGCTGAACCCTTCAGCCATTTTGACAGTCTTGTCCTTTTGTTTCCAAAGGACACCATTGCTAATTGTTTTGTTCAGTCAGAACTATCCTAGGACTGTCAACCAGTCTATGGGCCACTGCATTAAAAACAAGGGTTTGCCTTGACTTAGAAGCTGCTGTTACCTAAAGTTTAAAAGTTCAAAAAGAAGAGCAACGATCCCCAGTATTGTCCTCTTAAAATTGATGGCAGTGGATAGGTAGACTAGATCCTTTGCTTCTTCCTCCCCCATCCTCCTCCTCATCTTCTGCTAACTTACATGCAAAGTTCTTTTAAAAGAACACCAAATCAACCTCTCTCTCTCTCTCTCTCTCTCTCTCTCTCTCTCTCTCTCTCTCTCTCTCTCTCTGCAAACTTTATTTTTCTGCTGTATTTCCAGCAAATTTAACTTTACAAAGAGTTGAAGTGTCAATAAACAGCGATATTCACTGTCAGAAGCCCCACGGGGGAAACAAGCAGAGGCAACAACTTATAAGTGTGTTTGTTGTCAGAAACTCTGGTGGGACAGAATTTGTGTCCACTTCAGTAGATCTTGCCTTAAAGAAAACTGGAAATCATGTGGGGGAATTCCTTCAAACTCAAGAATTGCACTCAGATCTCTGTTAGAAGTCGTAGTCTGTGATGCTGTGATGTACACACAGCCGCAGGCTAAAGCCACAAAAATCTCTTGCAAAAGGGCGGCTCCTCTTCTTTTGATTAGTTGCCTGTGTAGTGAATATGAGTCTTGTTTTCAACTGCTCCCCCTGACATTTTTGACATAGAGTTGCCCGTGACAGAACCTTCCAGATCACCTGGAAAGGTGCCTGGAGCGATGAGCATGTGTGGGAAAGGCAACTCCAGTCGGAACTCTGTTTTACCAGGTCACCCTATTTCCCATCTTGTGTATTCTCTTGGACTAGAAAGGTTTGAAGGATCCATCTGAATTTTTCTACTGGTATTAACCTGGCTTATTCTTCATGTGGTTTGAGTAGCATATGCTCAGATGGCATTTAGAGGTCTTTCCAGTTCTCACTCATTCTGACTTCAGAAGAGACTCAACGAATGAAAGATAATAGTCACCCTATATAAGTGCAAATGGGGAGGGACTTGGTCCTGCCATAACTTGATATGCCAGGCTTAGTTGACTCCCCATGGGAGGAGGCCACAGCCTCTCTGAGGAGTGGATGGGGGTAGGGGATTGGGGGAGATGGGAGGAGGGGAGGGAGGGGGAAGTGTGATTGGTGTGTAAAATGAGTAAAAAAAAGAAAAGAAAAAATTTAAATTATAAAAAAATAAGTGTATACACACAGAAGACTACCTATGAGTCTACACACTTCCCTTTTCTTCAACTCTGAGTCAAACCTACTGACCTAAGAGAAATGGAAGATGGATATTTGTTGGGCCAAAATTATCTCAGGGCCTGTACCTCAAGGCCTGTAGGACAAAGAAAAGCCAGATTAATTAAGTTTGAGGGATAGTCTCAAAGCTACTGAGGATGAGACAGCAATATCTAGGTAGACATCCCTCCAGCCAGAAGAAGGGCTTGGCTATCTCTCATTGGCTGGAGGTACCCCCACATCACATGATGTCACTTAACCTACATAAGCTGATGCTCACAGTAGTAAACTGAGCTCCTTCTTTGACTTGACTCCATATCACTTCTGATTGTCCTGTATCATGGGGCTGTGGATCTGACTGTCCTGCGCCATGGGGTTGCAGAATGGGCAGATGCGCACTCACCCAGTTTTCCCTGGGGAATAAGGATAAGGAGGCCTGGCAGCTATTTAAGGAAACAATAGTGGTTTTGAAAATGACCATAGAGGCCAACTCTTATGCTGACCTCCCATTTAACTTGATGTGACTCATGTCTTTCGTAGTTATCAGGTGCAGTAGGTTTTCTTTTGCCGTCAGTTTGTTTATCATGGTTCAGACATATTAACTAGGCATTTCTCTGTCAGAATTCATGAATCGTCTGAATGCAGACCTATCGAGTCAGTTTGCAGATTGCTAACCACATTTTTTACAGAATAGCTGTGTCAGGATAACCGAATCAAGCAAAATTTGAGAGCATTTGTCTTTTCAAGTTGTCATCAGTGGGACACTTCCTTTTTTTCCAACTTAAGTTTGTCTTTAGAGACTTTAGAAGTCATACAAAATATCCTTTAAGGTAGAGGATTTCAATAAACCCATCTTGGGCGCCAGATGTAGACACTTTCAATAAATTAGTCCCACACTAGTTCAGAATGGAGTATAATAAAGTTGTTTTTTTTTTTTTTTAAATTTGGGTAGACAATCCTCTGCACGAATGGGGAACAGGAACTGAATCCAGCAGTTGAGAGAGTACACACATTTTTACATTTGTATTTATATTACCCAAGACCACTCCCAAAGTGGTCCAGCATCTCAAAGGTCATTGGCTGAAGGGTTCTGATAGCACTTTAAAGATCATAAGTTATCATTACCTGCCCAAGACCTACCCAAGATTAAGCTATCTAAAAGTTCTGGCATTGATGGAGTAGAAGACCCCCAGGCCCTGCCCCTTACTAGGGAACTATTGACAGTGGCTGGGGAAGGGGGACTCATTCTTTTTTGTTTGTTTTATTTTGTTTTGTTTTGTTTTGTTTCTTGAGACAGGCTTTCTCTGTGTAGCTTTGGAACCTGTCCCAGAACTTGCTCTGTAGGCCAGGCTGGCCTTAACTCACAGAGATTTGCCTGTCTCTACCTCCCAAGCACAGAGAGGACTCATCCCTAATGGATGATGTGACCACCGGTAGGTCCTAGGGGATGGCTCTACACCTGTGCACATATGGGGAGCCCTAACTGGACTTAGTGAGTTATTAAAAGACAGACAGGAACTTGGGGAGGGCCTATTGAGGGGTCATGGGAAACATGGATGGGGAATGGGGAATATAAATCATTATATTTCCCTGCATACATTTATGAAATTCTCAGAAATGAATATAAGTTAAAAGAAGATTATATCTATACTTTAAAAGTTACCATCTACAAAACTCTACTACACAATCACTCTAAATGCCCCCCCATTAGGTGTTAGCCCCAAATGACTATTGTAGCAGAATTTCCTGACTCTTTCTTCAGTTTCTTTAAGACTCTTTGAAGAGAAGCCTTGCCTGGCAGTGAGATGGAGACAGAAACAACTCTAGGATCCTGCATAACAATAGAGCAACAGAGAGCATTGATGTTATTGTTACACAGGATTTCATGAAGGTGAACTTAGAGTAGCAGGCATATCAGTTTTAAATTTGCAGTAGTAATATTTATCACTAGAAAATAAAATATTAACAAAATAGTTCACAACAAGTCATTACACACATATCACACATCTGTTTTAATTGCAATTAGCATGTTTTAAATATTGAGGATTAAAAGCCTGGCAAATACAATATTATACTTGTACATTACCTTGGGGCCCGGGGTCTCCCGGGGGCCCAGGTAACCCATCCTTCCCCGGTGGGCCAGGCCTCCCTTGAGCTTGAGCGGACAGCATTGCTGCTGGCAGCTTAAGTTGGGACAGAAACACAGCCATTCTCTCTGCATTCGTGAAAGAAAAAGATACATCACAAAATGGAAGTGTTTTTATGTCAAATGATTTCCAAATACTTTTCTAAGAAGTTGAAAAAAAATTCAGTTACTGATTTAAGCACATATTATATACCAACTGGTCTGACGGCTGTGTTTTTATAAAACAAAGAATCAATTGCATGAAGTTGTTTTTGTTAGGCTCTGAGGGATACATCTTTGTGAATTAAGTCCTTTAACACAAGATGCTTTCCCAAAGGGCACATCAAAGGCATTGCCACTTATTCATTTAACAGACTGCCTGGAGCACAACACTATGTATACGGGTTCCAGAGAAAATGTCCAGTGATGACAGAGAACATTAAGCGAACACACCCTCTCAGGGACTCACCATCAGCTCACGAAAGCACCTTTACAGTAGGTGCAGTGGGGTGTAACTGCTAAGTCTTTGACAGTTATTAATGTCGTGGGACTTTGAGATGAAAGTGAGTATACAAAACTGAAAGTTAACATGTCAGATGGGCTTAGGGAGATGACTCGGTGGGTAACAGTGATTGCTGCACAAGCGTGTGGACTCCAGTTCAGACCCTTGGCCCTCCTGTAAAAGCTGCGAAGGCTTGTGTGCATCTGTAACCCGAGTGCTCAGAGGTCAGAGACAGGAGATCACTTGGACGTCTAGCGATCTGCCTAGCAGAGAATGCAAAGTCTAGGTTCAGTGAAAGACCATGTCCCAGGGAGTAAGATGGAGGGTGGTAGAGGAGGACATTTGACATCCTCTGTGGCCTGTGTGCAGGCACTTGGTCACATGGGACGTATCCCAGCCAATCGCTTCCTGCCCTGCACACAGACATATGACACCCCCCCCCCCAAACACAAGTAGAACCAAGAAAACTGGTGTGCTAATGAAACTTGGAAGAACCATAAAAAAAAGTTCAAAGACTATAAGTATGAAAATATGAATAAGAATTTTCCATTTAAAATCAGCTTCTGAACATGGTATATTATTAACTAAGTTAACTAAGCATTCTTTATTTTATTTTATTTTTTAAAAGATTTATTTACTTATTTATTATGTATACAGTGTTTTGCCTGCATGACAGAGGAGGGCACCAGATCTCATTATAGACGGTTGTGAGCCACCATGTAGTTAGTTGCTGGGAACTGAAATTAGGATCTCTGGAAAAGCAGTCAGTGCTCTTAACCTCTGAGCCATCTCTCCGGTTCCCTCTTCATTTTATTTTTTAAGTAAAAACATATTTGATTAAGGGTCTCATGCAGTTCAGGCTACCCTTGAACGCCTGGGGTTCTGGCTGCTACTCCAACACACCTGGCTCAACATTCTCTGTAGCAGAGCTTTTCATTAGGGATTGTGGACTTTGTTTTGGAATTACGGAATTTACTCATTTAAGCTGATCATTTAAGTAAGAACTATTACCATGTCTTTATGAAGCTCATATATTATAAAGGATGTTTCTAACCTGATGTCTCAAACTATTCCCAAACAGCTGAGCATCTTCAGCTCAGTCTGAGACAGCGGATTAGGAATCTGTCAGCTCATGCAAGACATTTCTTGTCACTATTGAATTGTTTGTTATTAATTTCAGACAGAGCGTTGCTCAGTTAAATTTTATCTCAAGAGCATACTCAGTGTTTTAGTCTGGAATTCATTTTGAGAAAAATCATGATTTCACTTGTCTATAAAGGCTGCCACGAGACTCCTTAAACTTGCTTTGCTTATATTTTATATATTTCCATTGTAAAAATCTAATATATGGGTGATTAATTTTTAAAATATAAAACTAGAAGAGGGTATAGTCTTGCCATGATAAGAAGAAGCTGGGTGGTTAATGTGTCTCCTCACCACACAATTTCTTCAAAAAAAAAAAACGGTCTTAGTAATTCAAATGATTTCACTGGTAAAACTAACTTGCAGCTGAGATGGCTCAGCTGGTAAGGATGCTTGGCACTAACCCTGACGACCTGAGCCCAATCCCTGGGATCCACACGAGAGGAGGAGGCACAGACTCCAACAATTTTTCCTCTGGCCTCCACAAATGTACCAACACACATAGGTGTGCATGTGAACACACACACACACACACATACACACACACACACACACACACACACACCAATAAATAAGTGTTACAAAACATGCTTAGTACCTTTAATGCCTAAACAGTTATTTGCCACCCTAATTTTCTTCTCTTTAAGCTAAGAGGTAAATTTACAAGTACTTTGTTTTGGGAGGATTTTTAAGAACTTTAGCAAAACACAATTATTTTAAACAATTACTCCTAGCTGTAAATGAACTGGCTTTAAGCTACACTAAGAAACAGTCATCTAGCATAAACTAATTAGCTCTTCTGAACCCTACCCTAATGCTCTATAATTGAAACTAATAGTTTCTTAGCATCTAAATGAATTGCGGAGGCCTGTATTCTTAATTGCCTTCCCTCTGTTTTCAGGGCTCCTTAGTAATTTAAACTGTTTTTTTTTTTGATTCTGCTTTCTAATGAGGCAGAAAATTAAAGACTTTGGAAGAGGTGTATATAAACCATTCATATTCCACCTGCCTGGGCAGAACAAGAGGAGCAGTCACAAGAGAAACGACTGGTAGGCGAGGCTGAGCACTTGGCTTCCTTGGAGAATGAAGTTCCCGTGACAAGGCAGACATTAACAGGGATTGAAGAAGTAAGGGACACTCAGGTGTCACCCAGTCCTCATCTGCCTCTTGTTTCACAAGTAGAAATTATAACTTATTTTTCAGAAGACAATTGAATCTTTTCTCCTAACTCATTCACATGTTGAGTTGCCCACGTTCTTAGTATAACCTCATCTTATTTTCTTTTGATGCTTCATTATGGAAGCACTAGTTACATGATAGATCAAGGGAAGTCCTCATCACTTGATAATATTGTTATCTTTTAGCCTTAAGGATAAAGAATTGTCATTCACAGGATTACTAAACTGTTCTAGAAATCACTTTTGGGGGTATTTTCCATGACTTTCCCTTATATCTTATAATTTTGGAAAATAAAATAACATGGAGTTTTCACCTATGGGGCAATACAGCAATAATTTCTTGTGATATCTGAATTATTTCCCAGTTTCATTTAAATTGCTATTTTATATTTTGGACTCATTTATTTTATACAGTTCACAATGCTGTATTTGTTCACAGTCTTTGTAAAGTATGTTATTTTGAAATGTTGTCATGGGTAAATACAGTGAATTGAACACTCGCATCTGATTTCAGTCTCCTGGGGATGCTTGAAAAACAACCAAGACATTTTTAAAATCACGAAGCTCAAGAATGAGGAGACTCTAAAAGGAAAAAAGTAGCTACACGGTTTTTGAAGCTGAGGGTCAGATTGCCAAGGGATATTTGTCTTGGTATAAAGCAAGAAAACTGAGACTTTCCACTGAGAACAGAAACCAAATTTAAAATGCAAATTCTAGAGACTCAAAATGGGGATGTAAGTTATCTCTGGAAGTAAGAAGCAAAGGAAAGGAGTTGAAATAAAGTAAATAGATCAAAAGCTTAAGTATAAAGTGGTAGAAATGTTTCTCTAAGAATCTAAACAGTCTACCCTAGCTCTAGCAACTAAAGGGTCCCTTTCTAAAAAGGGGATGGTCTGGGGGAGGAGAAGGATGGGGAAAGTGAGGTGATTATTATTCCATTAAAAGGTAAAATGAATAAATGAAGGGAGATAGACTGTCTCTGTATTGACAACTCCAGACTTCAGCAATAATCTGGCTTTAATACTGAAAAAATAATGAATAAATGAATTCCTAAAATGCTGCTGAGCTGACAGTCAAGGTAGAAAACCGAAATGCATTCATGGAGAGACTTAAGACACTGAAATCCAAAGACCTTCATTTAGAATGCCCAGCTGGCTACCCCATTGAAAACCATGATTGGCAAATTCTACATTCACTTTCAACCATCAGTTATGTATTTCAGAACCCATTTTTCTGTGTGAACAGACAACCACAGCTCAATAGAGATAGAGGGAATCCTGTAAGCCGCATGACCGATTCTGGTTGAGTTCCTGGTAAACAGAAGTTGTAAATGAAATTAACAGAATATGTTGTGGAAAATACTTACTGTATCTCCCATGATGTGTATCTATTGGATGATGTGTATATTCACACACACACACAAATATCCTACTTATAGATGCATATCTATTTGATGCTGTGTCTATGCACAAATATATACACACTTATAAATATCTTACTTATAGAGAGGAAAGAGATGTTACCTTGAAAGAGTAGAATGGGATAATATGTTATACTCATTCAAATACACGTGTGTGAAATACGTGTGAAAATGGAGAAAACATGGGTTTTCTGAACATTGGAAACCAAACACAGAAATAAACCTAACCTTCCTTATCTTCCTCATTGGCAGGTCAGACTTTGAGGGTTTAAAGAGTGGAAAGAGTTTGTTAGTTTATATACACTATTTCATAGTTTTCCATATAGATGCAAATGCTCAATTATTTTAGGGTAGGTCATAGCAAAATCTATGCTTCTCTGATATGTCAAGCCTCTGATTTATGTAGATAGCATCGCTGGGAGCTGCTAAGTCCTCCTAAGGACAAAAGATGCTAAGCTGAGTCATGTGGATGACATCTGTCTCTGCCTTGTGTGATCTGATCACCCTACCTGCAGAAATGCTTTGACATATTGGCCAATCAAAGTGGGAATTTAATCTAACTTTAGAATGAATGCATGCTTGTGTATTACTATGCAGCTGGAACCTAGGTTTGAGGTCATGGAGAATCACCTCCCTCCATTACTTGGGGTTGGGAATGAGCATTTAGCATGCTGAGGGACAGGGTAATGGCCTGTAGGACAGCCCAAGGTGAGAAGCCTGTGAGGGTCACCTATGAAGTTCAAAGGAGATTGATAAATCCCTGGAGGAGAGCTTGAAACTTGGGTCCTGGTGTAGGGTTTTACACGAGGAGCCACCTGGAATAAAGCATGCAGCAGGACCTCCTGAGGACCACCTTGGACTCCTGCTGGAGACGGAGGACCCTTCCTGAGGCGATGGCCAGGCATGGGTGTGGAAAGACTGCAGGAGCTCCCACTGACATCTCCTCTAGTGAAAATGCTAAGAAAACAGTCTGCAGACGAGCGTGTCTGAACCCTAGCACTTACGGTACTGAGCTAGTTCACTGAAACTGTTTTAAAATGTGACAATTAATCTCTGCCTTTAGAGAAGGCTTTGTGGAAAGGGAAACTGACCTGGCAGTGCTATGATTTGTGAAAGAGGAGTTTTACCTTTTTTTCTTCTTGGAAAATGGTGTTCAGAAGCCATGGAAGAAGAGCAAATGGACTGAATGGAAATGGTTTGAGGGCAAATGAACTTAAGTGTTAAATAACCACACCGTAGGTTCAGGCACACTTTGTGTGGGAGAAGATAGATTTGCCAGGCTGCTGTCTGGGGAGTGAGCAGGAGAGGGGATAGCACACATGGAGCTGGAGGCTAGAGATTCCAAGCAAAAAACGTCCTTTGGCTCTTTTTAATAAACCATCTTGAGGAAAAGGTTATCTGTGGCTTTGGTGGTAAACAAGCTCTCTCAAGGTTAGAGTATCCTGCCATTCACCGGGACCCTAAGTGAAAGGCGTTGGGCGATATGGGGTGAAGCTGGGGGACACAAGGGTGAGAGCTCTAGAAGAGATTTTAGAAAATACCTAGAGTCAAACTTCAACAAACAATAGATTGATAGATAGCTTATAGGTGCAGAAGGAATCCGATGACATTTGGAAAGGCCTAAGCCTTGATTCAACTTAAAATTTGAAACATTCACATTTTATTGCTGCTATTACTACTAACTTATTATTTATTGTTATTGTTATAGTGTGTGTATATGCATGGCAGGTGTGCCAAGGTGTGTGCGAAGAGGTCAGAGGACAACTTGCAGGAGCCATTTCTCTCCTCCCACCATGTGGGTCCCAGAGATGGAGCTCAGGTTGTCAGTCTTGGCAGCAAACACCCTTACCCACTGAACCATCCTGTCAGCCCAGCTCTTGACTTTTCAATTCAACATTTCCATCCACAATCAGAATGATAACATGGTTATACCTTTAGAGATGACCCAAAGCTCTGTCAGCCATCTGACCTTTCATGAATATTCTAAACCATATTTTCAGGTTGGACCAATGTCAGAACATAAATCACTTGAATTTTATTTGATTTTGTTTTGTTTATTTAATTTAATTTTTTTTGGTGTTGTAAGTCAAACCCAGGACCTTAGACATGTCGAGCAAGTGTTCTGCCACTAAAGCTACTTGATGTTTAATAATATCAAACATAATTTCACCTGTTTAAGGTTTTTAAAATAACACACAATTAAAAACTCTTAAAACGTTTTCAGAAGGAAGAACCATGCTGTTAACTGATGACTCAAAATGAATGACCAGCAAGTATTAACTGTTGAGAGAAAGCATTGATGGGCTGGGATGTGGCTCAGCTGGTAAGTTTCCACTAGTGTACACGAAGCCCTAGGTTTAAGTGCAAGAAAAGCAATAATAACCCTGGTAGGATGGTCAAGCACTATAATCTCAGCACTTGTAAGGTGGAGGCAGGAGCATCAGGAGTTCTAGGTTATCCTCTGGCTACATAGGGAATTCAAGGCCAGCATGGACACCGCGTTGTTTTATTTTATAAACAATGCTATCTTGGGCTTAAATATCTAGAGCTGGGGCAGGCAAACTTACTCTGAAAGAGCCAGAAAGTGAATATGTAATTTTTTGCTGGCTACATGAAATCCGTCACATCTATTCAACTATTCACCTGTAGTCTGAAAACACTGAAGAAATATGAAAAGAAGTGAGCATGACTGTACCCCAAACCACTTTATTAGAAGCCAGATCTGAATTTAGGTCATTTTAAATATGTCATTTTGATCTTTTTTAAAAATGAGGATGGGAAATCCTCTAACAAATATATAGAGCTGTCCTCAGCTTGTGGGCCATATAAAAGTTCATCTGTAGCAGAAGGAAGTGGCCGGGAGTCTTTAGTTTGCTGACCCTGGTATAGATCAAAGGTCATTGTAACCCACCCTGGTTAAAACCTTCATGGGTAAATTAAACACCTCCCCAGGGTGGCAGGGATGGGGGAGCTGGGCGTACTCCATAGAGGAGGAAAATCAAGATGGAGTGGGATGGGTATTGAAATATTTGAAAGACAGTTACACCAACAGCACCAATAGAAGGTCCTTCATCCGTGTGGTTTACAGACAAGTGGCACGGAAGGGAAGTTCAAAGAGAACATTTGACAGCATAAGGCAGACATTTCTGTGCGAAGGAGCTACCTCTCCACGAAATGGATCTGCTAAGGTTGCTGTCACGGAGTCATCTTTCATGAATGTCACTAAAGGAATTCCCCAAGAGGGAATGGGAAGTGGAGACTTGTTAAACATTCGGAACTATTACAAAGCGAATCTAACCTTCAAAAATCCGTAGGACCTCTTGATTAATGTACTTTTTGATTTCTTCAAACGAAACAGCATCAGCCTAAAGGAGGAAAAAGAACGACTATTAAAAGAGAGCAGAACACAAGTAGGTGAGAAACGGAAAGGTTGGGCTTGGGAGACCTTTGGCGGTAAACATCTGCCAGGCAAAATCTCCAGGCAGTGCGCTGTTTTGGACAATGAACACTGTTTGGTCAAATGCTTGGATAAACTGAAGTTCATAGTTGCTTTACAAGTAACTGGGATTATAATCAGTGATGCTAACACTTTGCCTAAGAATGGCAAATTTTCAATAGAGAACACCTGAGATACCCGAGTAACTACAAGTAGGTAAGTGTTGTCAACTGAATGCTTAGTCCTTTGACAAGAAACCACATTTATTATAGCCATGTTTTGATGACATACTTTGAAATTTTCAGAAGGGATCTCTCACTTTTCAAGACTGCCAAGATTTGAAGGTATCTTAGTGCTATTCTTTGTTTGCACAGTTATTCTCTGAGGCTTCCTGTATGGCAATGAAGACAACGTTGCACACGTGAGAAGCTGTGATGTAGAGGCTCCCTCCTATGGCCAGTCACACACTTTGAGGAATGCATAACAAAGCCCAGTGGGCTGTGACCAGATGAGGGACATGAAATATCTGTGGGAAATCTCCATGGGAGGTGATTTTCAGACATGGTCCTGCTTATTCCTACAAATTAGGCTGATGCCCTTAATCTGTCAAAGTCCCTGTCTTGGCGAGTTCTCCACCATTCTCCCCTGATTCCTTCATCATGTTTGCATATCGAGTATATATATATATATATATATATATATATATATATATGATAATAAGACTGTGATCTTGTCCGTGCACAGCAGTCCACCCATGTAGAATGCAAGAAGGAAGAAGACAATGTGATGTCCCCATAAGGTGCTGATTTCTATTGCTCAGAACTGCTACCTTGTCTTCAAGGTGCATGAGAAAAGGTGCATGGGAAAACTTGAATGAAAGTAGTGAGAAGGCAAGGTGGACACAGGTCTCACCCCTAACCAAGAAGCCATCTGCAGCTAACACCTGCTAGCAAAGAGAACTCTCAGTTTTCTCCAGTGGAGTGTCACCGGGCAACTACACTCCAGGGTGGGTCACATGTCCTGTTATCCAATGGGAAACAAACTCAAAGGCATTTGTGTGGATTTCTTGTTTGGTTTTGCTTTGTTTGAGCATTTTTTTTTTTGTCTTTCTGGGTTTTTGCCTGTTTGTCTTGATTTTTGTTTTTGTGGGATTTTTTTTTTTTTGTTTTTTGATTTTTTTTTTTTTTGGCTTTTGGTTCGTATGTGTTTTGAGAGAAAGAGATAAATTGGGTGAGTTGGGTGGGTAGGGAGGTGGGGAGGATCAGGGAAGGGGCAAACATGATAATATACATTGTATAAAATAGGATCAGCACATAACTTTAAATAATGGTCCAGACCAGCTTATTTCATATGTTTACAGATGACTGGTATTTCTTTCATTACAGAAAGTCACATGGTCAGTCTGAGCCAGGAGCTCCACTTACCGGCATGCCGGGGATGCCTGGAGAGCCGGGAGGGCCCTGGTGGCCAGGTGATCCTATTGAGCCCTTGCTTCCTGGGGGCCCCACAGGACCTATAGCCCCTTTCATGCCCATAAGGCCTGGTTTGCCACGTTCACCTTGTGGGCCTCTGTCTCCTGGAATTCCCTGATCACCCTGTTTGGGGAGAAAATAAGGAGTTACCCTTTCTAGTAACGCTGTGACTAATAGCAAAGTCAAGGGAAGTGCCCAAGGGAAGTGTGCGCCCACAGCAAGTGCTTCAGTTCCATGCCTTCAGTTCATGTGCGCGACTCTGGGAAGTGAGCATGAGCTGAGGGTGACGGACAGGTGCTAGAGGCCTCCCCACACTTCCCGCACTATTCCTGGGTCTGCAATGCTCTGCAAAAGACTCACCTGTATTTCTCTTGATTTTAAAAAAATAGTGAAAATAAGTGAACAATCACAGGTATTGATGTGATCATAAGGTACTAAAGGAGATAAAGAAGCCATGTAGAAAGAAAACACATGCCTGTAATATCAATGGCGTTGTCTTATAAAATGTATCAATACGTAGACTTCTCAGCTCATGTCTGCAGAAACTTCCAAGATTAAAAAATATTAACATACTTGGATCTATGATCTGTATTTTATGATCATGTGAACCTTTAATTTTTTTTTTTTTTGTGTTTCAAGGCAGAGTTTCTTTGTATAACAGTCCTAGCTGTCCTGGAACTAGCTCTGCAGACCAGACTGGCCTCAAACTCACAGAGATCCTCCTGCCTCTGCTTTCCAAGTGCTGAGATTAAAGGTATATGCGCCACCACCGCCTTGCAGAACATTTAAATTTTTATGTATGGGACCTGGTGAGATAACTGAGCTGACATCTGTCACCCATTGTCACTTCAGGCCTCAAAAGGGAGCATGGCTTCCACCACCAGACTTGATGTGTGGGTTTAATCCACACGCGCAGGCCACAGGGTGGAGGCCGAGAACTCCTCTAGACTCACATAACTCTTTTTAATTTTTTTTTCTAAAAATAAAATGTTTGTAGTGTTTATCATTAAGAAAACTGGAGATAAAATAGCTGCTTGGAAAAAGAGGATTAGGGAAGCCATATATAGTCATTGCATATTCGTAGTAGAAAAAATGTTTACAAAACACTGCCAATCTGATTTCGAAAGAATATATACTTTACATTGATTATATGTGTACATTAAACATAAGAGTGAAACATTAAAATACATTCAAAATATCTAATGTTTATCCCTGTGTAACGATGCATGGAAGACTTTTTCTTCTTCAATTTATGTTATCTTGTTTTTCATACTTCCTTCCATCATCACAAATTACTTGCGTAATATTTTAAAAAATGCCAATAAATTAGACACCAGTACACAAACACATATATAGACACAAACATAGGAGCAGCCCTAAAAAGGACTATGAGAAGTAGCAAGGCTTGTGTAACTTAAACTGGGAACACAAGTCCTACTAGGAGATTATGATTCCTTACAGAAAATGCCGGTAAGTTCCAGTAACAGCACCGGCGGCCTCCAGAGTTCTAACAAAAGTACACCCCACACCTGCGTGCGGCACTTCACATTCCGTTCCCTTACTGCTCCTCTCCAACCTCAGTTTCCCCACTCCACTTAGCGTTCCTGTGGACCAGTGTTTCTCAGCCTGGGCGGTCTTGCTCCCTGGAAGGCATTTCGTGATGCCTGGGTACTGACAGCGGAGGCATGACGGTGCGGCTGCATCAGGACAGGGCCAGCAATGCCAGCAGTGTTCTGCAATATGCTAGGTGGCCAAACAGCACAAAAACTTACCTGCCTCTACGTGTCAATACCACTGTGGGTGAGAAATACCTCTGCTGGCCAAAAGAATTTGGGTGGTGGTTGTAGTTGGCCTATGTGTCTCAGACAGGAGGGTGGTAAAACCCTTAAGAGGCAGACTCATGGGCACAAAGACCAAACAGCAGGCACACTGTCCACATGGCTTGCTCAAGTGTGGCATCCTATTCCTAGTGGATACATTGTTTTGTGTACATCCTAACCATTTCATGTCAGGAGAACCAAAGTTGTCTACAGGCTTCGTTGTGTGGCTAAAGAGATGGATGAGTTGTATCAGACAGGTGGGAGCATCAACCACAGTAGTGATATACATACGCGCTCTCCTTTGGGGCCTCTGTCTCCAGGTTTACCCATGATGCCCTGGAAAACACATGTCAACACTAAAAATCATTGCTTACCAAGATTTTCCATCAGTCTAACTGACCCAAAACTGGTTCTGAGGTACATATACTTAAAAAGTAGAAATTTTAAAAATTCATACCATTTAATATTTTTTCCCATACCTGAGCACCTGGTAATCCATCTTTTCCATTTATGCCCTAAAAAGATAAAAAAATTATCTATCTCATGTCTATATACAGTCATAGTTAAACACACAAAAATATGTTACATATTACTTCATATCTTGGTGAGTCTGAATGGCAAAATTGAATAGAGAATCTGTACAGCCTTGTGGCCCCAAGTTCAAATTTTGATTGCCGTTTACTGGCTCCATTGACCAGGCTCAGGAATTTAGTCCATCTGATTAACACCAGCATCTTCACATACACAGTGAAGAATGTAAGAATGAGTTTACAACCAAGAAGGAAGCACAGCAACATGGACTTGTGGCATCACCCAAGACAGCTTCCTACACCTCCTATGAAGAGTGACGGGGCCTCAAAGCATTGAATGAATGGATGAGCTGTGGAGATATTTTATACCTCTGTTGTGCAAGAGTTTTCTCTGGGATAAACCTTCCATCTTGGAAGGAAGACTCAGGATAGTTTAAAGAAAGACGGAACACTCCATCCTTCAGGGAAGCTACTTAAAATTCAGGATAAACAACCTGAAAGCTTTAGGAAGTTCCTGAAACTGACCATATTCACTATGCTCCTCCTTTCCAAGGTTAGATGATCAGCAAGGACTTCTGAGAGATGCCCTTAGATTGGCTGAACTGCCTGGAAACAGTGGAAGAATTTGGAGAACACACTCTCCATCCTGGTGAGCTGCCTGCAGGTTGTGCACTGAGCGCCAGGGCTCCAGCTTTTGTGAGCATTACCCACGGTGATGCAGCTTTCTGGGCATCATTTGTGCGCCTGCCAGGAGCTCCTCACCTACACTCCTGTAAGTCACGCCAGTTACACTCACTAGTTGACCAAGCTGTGCTTCACAGGTGTCCTTTCTTTGCTCTGCTGTTGATTCCCTATCTGTCTGGGGAGACACTCACTGACATCTTCCTGGGATTCACATCTCCACAACAACCTTCTAGCAGTTTTAATTCCAGGTTCCCTCTCAGCAAACGCTGCCACTTGGTTCTGAGGGAATTTCATAACACGGCCAGAATGTGTTCCTACTATAAAATAAACCATCAACTGGAGAAAAATGATTATTTTTCGGTTTGAAAGAATAGTAAATGAGAGCTGGGAATCCGTAATCGTAGTTTTTGAGACTATTAGGCAGTGACATTTTTTGTTTTTATTAGAAAATGAGAACTCCTGGGACCTCTAAAAGGTATTCTGGAAGTGGTCATAAACCCAGCCCCCTAATGGAGATTTGTAAAACTGACAGAATGGCCTGTCAGTTACAGAGGGAGGAAAAGGGCTTGGGGTCAAATCAAATACCCAGAGCCCAGCTGCAGAAGCGGCTTTGAGATGTGATTTGAAGAGAGAGAGATGAAGGTGAGGGAGCGGCATTTCCTAGCCAGCGGGCATGGCATAGACACACACTGGGAAAGCCTGAGAGACTTTGATTCACGGGCACAGACTCCCCAAGGACACAGCTGCAGACAGCCACCTGTTTAAGGCCGGAAACCACGCTGGCATCTGTTGCGGTTGGTAACCCAACCATAGGCTCAGGACTTCTCTGAAGCGCCCTGGGAATTCTGGAGAGCGCTTTAACTAAGGATATGTTACCTGAAGCGTATAGTTCAAAGACTTTTTTTTACCCACCAGAACACTAGCATCACAGGTAAAGCTGATTAAAGAGAGCATGAGAAACAACTGTGACGCCTGAATAAAAGATAAATCAAATGTAAAACTGGAACTCAGGTTTGAACCTTTAAATGTACATGTTTCTCTTTTTCAAAAACATCCATACACATATACAAAGAAACACGATCACATTTATGCCCCATTTTTCCACCAACTCTCCATGAGTCCCTCTCAATACGACCCCTTCTCAACTTTATGTTCTCTTCTTTTGATAACAGACTAAATCCAAGCTACACCCCTGCTATACTCCTAGGCATAGGGCGGCAGCGCCCCAGTGGGAGCTCCCTCAGACAGGAAGGAGTGCCTCCTGCAGCAGTTTTCAGCACCAACCATTGCTAGCATGGAACAGTTGCTCAAAAATGTTCGTTCAATGAAAAACAATTGCCAATTGTATTATATACGGGGGAACTCAATCACAAGCCTTTTGTGGGCTGACTCGCAAGGGTTAGGGAGGAAAATTTGTCAAGGGGAGGTGACAGGAAGCTCAGAACATTATAGTGTTCACTCGGTACTTCCTATAGCCAGCACTGCAGGTCTCTTCACTCTGCATGCCACCCGATTGACTCAGGGAACACCCTGGCATAGATCGAGCCCAGAATGCCTGACTCTGAACAGCACATGCCTTTTGTTTCCTGCATTGCCACCTCTGAGGAGAGGAAGGCCAGAGAATTCATCAACTCTGAATGTCAGAGAAATAGCGAACAAAGTTCCTATGATTCATGATACTCATTTTCAGTACTTCCCTTCCATACATGACAGAGCAAATGACCAAGACCTTCTGTAAAGAAACTTTGATAGGCTGGATAGGTGACTCGGAGGTTAAGAGCACTTGTTGCTCTCCCAAAGGACTGGGTTTGGTTCTTAGCACCCATCTGATGGTTAACAATCCTCTCTAACTATAGTTCCAGGGGATCGGATGCCCTCTTCTAGTTTCCACATGTACCAGGTACCCATATGGTACCCATATGGTACACACATATACATGCAGTCACGCATACACATAAAATAAAATACATATTAAAAGATGAAAAATCTTTAAAACAAAACTCAGAGCTTCACATGCCTCTCTCCGGCCTCAGGACACTCTCGGCTCGCAATAGGACCTAGGTGTATAACTGCTGGGTGGGTGTGACTGTCACAATGTCATATCAATACACAAGCTTTTTTAGGGCTCTGGGCATGACTCATTTGCAGTAATGGTTATTAATGACATTGTCAGGACAAGAACCATAGTAGGTTTTCTTCCTTAGTTTATCACTCAGGCGCCATGCCAGCAAGCTGTTGGCTTCTTCCTATCTTAGGATGTGACAGGACATTTAATTTGAACTCTACTGAAGTTACTAGACCTAAGATGTTAACAACGAGTCCACTTTAGTGGCACTTACAAAAATCACATCTTTCCCCACACCATTGTTTAAATGATAAGGATACCACATAGAGATCTAGGAAACTCCTGGAGGAATTCCCCTGCCAGTACCCCAAATTCAATATTTAGAACCTGTCTGCACTTCATTCTGAAGCTGCTTGCTGAGATCTTCGGTTTCTGAGGAGGAAAGTGAAGAGACAATACATAGAACATCTCTTAGGATAGCATTATCTGTGTCCTAAGTACTTACTGGTCTCCCCTCTGGTCCCTCTGGTCCAGGAAAACCTGTATCTCCAACAGGCCCTCTCTCACCCTAGAAGTGTGAGCCAAGAAAGAAGTTCATTGGTAAAAATTTCTTTAAGATAGCACCTAGATACTACAACAGCGGTTCTGCTGCTAAATTGCTGGTAGCTCACCGGCTCCCCTGGTACTCCTGGAGGGCCTGGGGCACCAGGTTTCCCCTGTAAGAAAACCAAATAAAAGTGTTAGGAACCATCTTATGGATGCCATGCATTTCTGCCTCCACAAGAGTGTAGGGTACTGTCTATTTGGACTAGTACATGTTCCAGGGCACAGTAGACCCCAGAGGCTGTAAGGTACACACTACAGAGTCCTGAGCGGGAGAGGGAGGATATTATTGAACATGTATCCTCATTGCTGGATCTCCTTAAGTCTTTTTTTCCTGGCAGTTCTTTCCTACTCTAGGCCAATGGTTCTCAACATTCCTAATGCTACGCCCTTTAATACAGTTCCTTATGTTGTGGTGACCACCAAGCACATTATTATTTTTTTTGTTGCTTCATAATTGTAATTTTGTTACTGTTATAAATTGTAATGTAAATATCTGATATGAAAATAACAATGTATTTTCAGTGTTACAAATTGACCCAAAGGGGTCACGACCCATAGATTGAGAACTGCTGCTCTATGGTAGGAGATGGAGGTGGGAGTTTGGGGAAGGTGTACTGGTTGGTTTTTGTTGTTGTTGTTTGTCAAGTTGATGCAAACTCGGGTCATTTAGGAAGAGGAAACCGTAATTGAGAAATTCCCCCCTCAGACTGGCCTGTGGACAAGTCTGTGGGACATTTTCTTGATTAATGATTGATGTGGGAGGGCCAGCTCACTGTGGGCAGTGCTACAGATGGGCTGATGGTCCGGGGTTGTACGAGAGAGCAAGCTGAGCAAGCCATAAAGTGCACGCCAGTAAGTAGTAGCCTTACATGGTCTCTGTTTCAGTTCCTCCCTCCTGGTTCCTGCCCTGTTTGAGTTCCTGCCCTGATTTCGCTGATGGATGGGCTGTGTTCAGGACACATTAGCCAAATAAACTTCCTAAGTTGCTTTTGGTAATTTTTTAAAAATCACACCGACAGAAAGCAAAAAAGGCAGAGGTGAGAGGAATTTACGTCAAGTTCTGAGTTTCACAAGGGAGCTCTTTGTTGGTAAAATAATATGAAAAGAAAACATTTTATTTGAAAAGCTGTATTTGGGTAAAAGGTTGAGGAATATATCCCCCCCCCCTTCAATGTGCTATGGCCTAAAGAACAAGAAGCAGGAAACCCTGGAGCAGACAGACCACAGGAAGAGGTAGGGACATGATGCCTCCACAGTTTGAATTTCACATGTGCCCTACAGGCTCATGTATGTGAACACGAGGTCCTCAGCTGCTGAGGTTTGGGGAAGTTATAAACCTTCAGGACTGTGGTTTTACTAGCAGAAACAAGCTGGCTGCTCAGAGGCAGGCCTTGAGGCTCATATCCACTTCTGGTTCCAGCTGGAGCTCTCTACTGTTTGATCTACCGACACGTAGAAAAAACATTTCAAGTTCTTTCTGCGTCTGCCCAGCCTACCCCAGCAGCTATGCCTTCCCTGCCCTGATGTACTTGTCAATGGACTTTGAGCCTTAAGCTGCTCCATCAAGTATTTTGTCACGAGGATGGAGAACGTTACTAACACCGGGGTCTGGCCAAGGCAGGAAGTGAAGCTCAGAGCATCAGATTGAGTTTACCTTGTTATCTCTGGAAGAGGACCCCCTGCTCTCCCGGGCTACCCAGGGCTGGGAAGGATATTGTGGGGATAGAAGGGAGCAGCTGAGACTTTAAAAGGGAAGGGTCTCATTTTTCAACCTGTTTTAGAATTTTAGAATTCAGAGAAGGGAGAAAGACGGACATTCTAGAGAAAGCCCTGGGTTACCCTGGAAACAGAGGAAAAAGACAGACTACTGTGTTCTAGGAAAGGCAGGATTGGGTATGGTGGGTCTCCACTGAATAGTCATGGCAGGCCCAACTGGCCTTAGCTTTGCTTCAACTGCAAGAATCACCTCAAGAGTTTTAGACAGTGCACAATACATCTCTGTCTCTGTCATCTGTTACAAAACTTGACATGTACTCACTTGAAAGTGTATGGCACAGCAGCATTGAGTGCATTAATAATGTCTTGTAGTCATTACTACTTCTGTACACCCTCCTAACTGCTCTGTTTTCCAAGGACCAGTTAAAAAATACTTATTTTGAATCGCACAATTGCACATGTGTAATATGACAGTTTTTACCCTTCCCTAATTTAGAAGTTGCCAAGTGCTTCTAAGTGTTGTGAATGCTGCTTTTAAAGCAAATTTATCAGCTGTGAGGTATTCAAATATATGTCTGATATTTCAATCAAACTACAGCCTTCAAAAGTATTTCTGGAATTTCTCATTTAAACTATCTTTTGAAACTAATACACATACTTTAATTACTTTGCTGGTATCTGATATGGGAAGCCCTTTTGTATATGTATTGCTTTTATTGATTAATGAATAAATAAGCTTGTTTGGCCTGTGATAGGGCAGGATAGAACTAGGTGGAAAAACTAAATTGAATGCTGGAAGAAAGAAGGCAGAGTCAGTGAGATGCCGCAGGAGACAGACACACTCGAACCTTGCCAGTAAACCATGAGCCTCATGGTAAAATATAAAATAATAGAAATAGGTTAATTTAAGATTTAAGAGCTAGATAGAAATATGCTTAAGCTATTGGCCAAAAAGTATTGCAATTAATATAGTTTCTGTGTGTTTATTTTGAATCTGGGCTGCTCTTTCAGGAGGTCCAACTAAGGAGCACTTGAATGGTGTTTGTGGGCTGGGTGCTTGTATGGCCACTCAGTGATTAGGAGGAAAGTGGGAGACACCATGCCCATGGCTCAAGACAACCCACACCGCTGCCTGGGCAGGTGGTGGGATTGGGTCTGTTGTATGTAATTTTACTATGTCAAAGTTAAAACCTTTTTATTTAGACAGAAAAGGGGAAATGATGTGGGAAGGCCTTCTTTATATGTGTCGCTTTTTTTGGTTAATGAATAAAGAAACTGCTTTGGCTTGAAATAGGGCAGAGTAGAGCTAGGCTGCAAAACTAAATTGAATGCTGGGAGAAAGAAGGCAGAGTCAGTTAGATGCCATGTAGCCACCACAGGGGACAGACATGCTGGAACCTTGCTGGTAAACCACAAGCCTCATTGTAAATATAAAATAATACAAATGGATTAATTTAAGAAGTAAGAGATATCTAGAAATACACTCAAGCTATTGGCTAAAGAGTATTGCAATTACTATAGTTTCAGTGTGTTTTGTTTGGGTTTGGTCTGCTGGGAATGGCCTCTGGCAACAGATATCTAGGAATATTTCTCTGAACACAGACAATTTATGGTAATAGTAGAAAGTATGTTAAAGTCACATGTAGATGGATATAATGGGAAGATGAATTTCTTTGTGAGCATGAAAACGTGAATGTAAGGGAACTGATTGAGATGGCATTCTGAGTATGGTTCCAAAAAGAGAGCCCCCAACGCTAATGAGGAGGAGAGTCAGATGTGTGTGGAGGGTGTAAGATTAAGTGTGAAGTCCGTTTTCATGAACAATCTTCATTGTATATAAATTCTAGAGAAAGTATTTTTCATTTTTTGCCTTGACAATTGTACACATTTTTAGTCTCGGTATGGACAAATCTAATAAAGAATGTCGTTCTCTGTAAGGCGTCTACATGATGGGTAACATTTTGTTATTTATTTGAGCTAGTTAAATGTGATAGTGAGAGGTCCATGGACCTTTTTAGGATGGCGGTAGATGGCAATGTATGGTGGTTGAGGGTCTTAGGTTGTATACAGTGATGCTCAGTGGTGTTAGTAAAGGAGCAGTGGCGTGGGGCTGACAGTCGGGCCCCTTCTCATCTTCAGGATGCTCCTGCTAATCAAGCACACGATTTCCATGAACTTTCTTGTAATATGATGCTGGACTTTCCCTGTGGGGTCACCTGCCAAGAGGATAAATGGCCTCTTACTCACATACCGTGACCACCAAATTTTAATGAGGGCATCACGAATGAAGATCAGAATTGTCCCAAGGGCTTGCTGAAATGATTTCAACCTTTCTGGGAGCACTTCCTATTCATTTGCAAAGACCTTGATGAGATTAAAGCATTTGACACCAGAGAGCAACAAAAAATGACTGAGAGGACTGAAGCCTGGTTTACGAGAAAACATTAGCAGCAATAAAGCTCTGCTAATAACCCTGGGTGAAGTGAGCACCCAGGCAGACTGCAGTTTAATGTGGGAGCCCGATGCACATGTCCCTCAGGGAGATAGAGAACTGCTGAAATATGACAGGGACAGAGGTATAAAAAGTGAGTTTTCAAAGCTGTGCACACACACACACTAATGCACAGCCATGTGTAAAATGATTTCCTCTCTTTCCATGAAAGAGACTTGGGAAGGAACAAAAGGCAAAAAGGAGGGGAACAGTCAAAATGAAGAACAGACATGCTAGAATCAAGAGCAGCGAGACAGGCTCTGGACAACTATTGCCATCAGCCACCATATACTCAAAAACCCTTCATCACTAGCTATGGACTGAGATGGAAATGCATATCTGAAAAGCTAACATGACACAAGCCAAACTCACCGACATGCCGGCTATTCCTGGGGGACCTGCTGGGCCTCGGTCTCCCTGTTGAGGTTAAAATAGAAATGGCTACTTATAATGATAGCTATATACTCTTTTCTTTTATAATCATTGCTCAAATAGTAATTTGACATGCTATTGTGGATGGAGAAAATCTCACAAGGCGCCACCCCTAGATGAAAAGTGCAGAGGGAAGAAGGGAGGGAGGGAGGGAGGGAGAGAGAAAGAGAGAGAGAGATTTTCAGTCTTCTTCAAGGATGAGCCTCCTGATTGATTATCCAACTAGAAGTGGGCAGCACACACACACACACACACATACACACACACACACACACACACACACACTACTAAATGGCCTAAACAGACTACATTTATAACAAATTGTTTACATATGTGAGTAATAATGAAGAGAAGGCCATGAATTGGGCGGGGGGGCAAAGGAGTTGGAGGCAGAGAGGGAGGGGTAGAAATGTTGTAAATAGAATACTTATGTACACAATTAAAAGAAATTGGATTTGTAAAGCCTTTGTTGAATATAATAAGTGCTATTGTTATTAACTTGTATGAAGAAAACTAGAAAAGCAGAAAAAAATGTATACACAATTCAACCTATTATATTTTCATCCTCTAAAGAACAAAGTAATTCATAGTTCTAATGAAAACCATTATTTATGATATTACTTTGGCTTATTTCAAGAGGAAGCCATGCATTCTAACAGCTAAAGTTAGTCAATATTTAAAATTCTACACATAATAAAAATTACTACCATGATCTGAAAGATTAATCACACTGAATATCTCCTGAGAATCTCTTCTTCACCTACTCCTGTTGGAGGCAGGGTTAGAATAAGAAAGACTGAGAACTAAAGATCTGTAGTTCTCCTCCAATGACCAGTCAGAAGATCCGTGCAATTGTTCTGACTCGGGTGCCTTCAAGAGGCAGTGTGTTTCAGATGTGGTAGACATTGCTGTCCGTGCTGGGGATGACATGTGGAGAGCAAAATGGCAATTTTATTGAGCAGAACCCATAGCTAAAAAAAAAAAAAAAGGCCTCACAATTTTGCTTAGAGATGTAAAAGAAGACTTGATGAAATAAAGAGATATGGAGCGTAAGACCATGCCATAATTTATAAACTTAGGTGACTAAACGGGAATAATATACCTTGTAAGTTAAGGGGAGACCCAAACAGGAAAGCTATACCCTGTAGGTTAAGAGTTCTGTTTGTAGTTTTCCTCTTTGTCCTGTGAAAGTTAGAGTTTCTATTTGTAATAAAAAAAAAAAAGTCTCAACCGGGCGATGGTGGTGCACGCCTTTAATCCCAGCACTTGGGAGGCAGAGGCAGGCGGATCTCTGTGAGTTCGAGACCAGCCTGGTCTACAGAGCTAGTTCCAGGACAGGCTCCAAAGCCACAGAGAAACCCTGTCTCAAAAAACCAAAAAAAAAAAAAAAAAAAAAAAAAACAACTCTGTCCTGTACAGGTTAAGGTTTTTGTTTGTAGTTCAAGAAGAAACTCCTGTTTGTTCTGTAGTAAGTTCTTGCAAGTTAAAGTTTTTATTTGTAATCAGGAACAAGCTCCTGTTTCTTAGATCTGATTTAAACTGCTTGCAACTCCACTTACATGATGTCCATCCTTCCTTATCATTGTACCCTTTTAACAATGTATAACAGCCAGCTCTCTCACCTCTGGGAACACCTTATCTCTCCTATAAAAGGGACTTCAAGAGGTCAGCAGGGGCTGCTTTCTCAAACCTCAAACCCTGACTTAGGGGGAGACAGCTGACTTGGTCAGCCCCCAAAATACAGCTGGCTTTAATCGGACACTGTGGATTTGGTCTTTTCTCCTCTAGAAGGATCTTAATAATTCCTCCATAATTTCTTCAATTTCTGCCTCTAGGTTCCTGCTCAAGTTCCTGCCCTGACCACCTGATGATGGAGTGCGATGTGGAAGTGTAGTCAAGGAAACCCTTTTGTTCCTCCAAGCTGCACTTGCTGAGACTATTTTATCACAGGGACAGAGAGCGAGCTAGAAGCTTAGATAATGCCGGAGCCTACCTCGGTCTCTTCCATCCCCTGTAGCTAAGAGCACAGCCAGCACCATTCCTCCAGTGGCCACAATGAGCAGCACTGTTTGATATACTGGGGTCACCTTTCTACCCTGCCCCCACTTCTCAGACCTCACATCTAAGACTTCTGCGTTCACGCATTGACGTTCCCATTATCGCTGGAGCTGGTGGCATGTATCCGGGTCCTCACATCTGTGGTTTCTGCTTTATGAATTGTTCTTTCTTCAGACTTATGTGGACGTGGCTAAGTCACCTTCCTTAAGTCACTGCTCTTGCTTTCTGGGATATCATATGATTGATGTTGGAGGACCCTCCACTCCCACACCAAGCACATGTGATATCCTTTAACCTGCTCTACTTTCAATTTCTTTCTGTAGCATTTTCTGAGAACTTTGTTTTTTATCGTGTATTCCCCGTTAGTCTCTGTATCCCTCCCTGGAAAACAAGTCCCGTAAGTATAAAAGCTTCACCTGTTTCCTTCTCCTATACTTAATAAACATAAAGCAGTTATTGGCATAATAGCAGGTGAACATACATTTCTTAATAATGAACCAACACTGCCTCTGTGCTTACCTTTACACCAGGAAATCCTTCCAGTCCTGGCAAGCCCATCGCACCAGGCTCTCCCTGTAAATGGGAAAACGAAGCATGCAGGAGCAATGACCAAAGGTTTATAAGCAATGATTTAAAGTCGAGGTCTTTTTATTGCTCATATCCATCAACTCTGATTCCCAACCAGGCTAGTGAACGGCATCCTCTATTTTCAGGCCCTAGGTATATGAACGTAGCTTGGGAATTAAAGCTATCCTCCAGGCGCGAGTCTGTTTTCTGATTAATTATTTTTACTCTGATTAAGAATCTAATCAGGATGAATCCCTGTAGTATATTAATAACTCCAATTTCAGTAAGGATTAGAATGAGGAGCAGATTTTAATAAAGTTTGCCAATTTGGGAGACATCTGGGGTTGCTAGCTTACGATCTAATAAGATTGGACTGTTTAAGAGTGAGCGGAAGTGGAGCTCTCGAAGCAGACGGTAGCATCCTTAGCATGGATTGTAAATGCTTAGGAAGATAACCCCACGAGTGGCACGGTCAATAATTTAAGGCATTGCTCAAGCTGACAGGTACTGAAAGCGGATAGACCAGCACTTTGTATGTTCTATTGCACGGTCCCAGTCTGTGGGTCTTTAAGTAGCATTTGGAAAAATCTGTTGAAAAACACTGATGATTTGAACAAAAAAAAAAAACCATTTTGACCAAGAAAGATAAGAGTGGGTCCAGAGTGAGGCTCAACAGTTGGCTGCTTCTGCAGAAGATGGGGGTTCAGTTCCAAGCATCCACAAGGTGGCTCACAACCACCTGTAACTCCAGTTCTGGGGGACATGATGCCCTCTTCTGGCCTCTTGTGGGTACAGCATACATGTGATGCATGTACATATCAGGCACAGAAACATAAACAAATCTCTAGAAACATAGAGAAATAAGTAAAATGGAGTTATTTGATAATTTCTTGTGAATTAATTACTTTTAGCTAAAAATATTTTCTTAGGACACTGGCTGCTTTAAGGCTCACAACCCTGGCAGGTGTGGTGGCGCATGCCTTTAATCCAAGCACCCGAGAGGCAGAGGTCACATCACTGTGAGTTCCAGGCTAGCCTGATCTACAAGTGAGACCTTGTCTCCAAACAAACAAACAAACAAAAACAAATACACTAGAAAAGCGAGCTTTCAAACTGTATTCTCTGTAGATGCATTTTTGCATAAAATACAGTTCTGCTTAGAAAATATTTCTAAAGCTGTAACAACCATTATTGTTTATCCCCGTATTATATAACCTAATAAATGCGTGTGCAACTTGGTACATTTTATGTTTCAAAACATTTCTTTAGTGTTCACTAATAAATAACCTGTCAGTCACAAGAATAAAAACTAAAAAGGTGTTTAGAGTCTAGTCTGTGAAAGTCTGTGTGAGGAGGCCCTGAGTTATCGATGTGTGGAATATATTCTGGTATCATGCCATCTCTTTGTTTACACTTCCGGCAGTCTTTCCTTACAACAGAAGAAGTAATCAATTAATTAATCAGCATTTGTTTGGGAGCAGATAATAATTAACTATTTAATTGAAATCACTTTGATATTGAATAACTAAAAAAGAAGTGTTCTGCATCAGGAAACCATTCACTTATTAGTATATCCAGCTGAAGGTAACCTTTTTCTCTACAGAGGTTTATTCAGGAGAATATTACTGCTATGTGTTATATCTTGAATCTTAACTATCTTCCCAAAGTGCATGAGTTTAAGGGCTGATCTGCATGTCCTTGCACACAGACGCAGGACTCCTGGGGATTCTGACCTCATCAATTAACCCACTAGAGATTTATAGCTTAACAGGCTTTAGGGATGGAGCATGGTTGTAAATGAAGACTGTGTTTCATTTCCTGCCACCACGAGGCTAGCAGCTTAGCCCCACGAAGTGTTCCCTGGTCCTCTGACTCCCCACAGGCCCAACAGAGCAGCTGACAATGGACAGAAATCTTTGAAACTGTCCATCAAAACTAGTATTTCCTCCTTCTCAGTTGTTTATCTCCAGTATTTTGTCAGAGTGGCACACAGCTGAGTGAACATGTCAGAAACGTGAAGGATATCCAGGGAGTGCATTTCCTCTGCCCACCAATGTTGGGGTTTCAGACATGCGCGCTGGAAGGTACAGTCCTTCCACTCCTTGTTTATTCCTGTTCTGTGGGGCGCTATTTCTCTATACCCAGCACACCGTGGGTGGGAGATGATGATAATAGCAAGGGGTGTGTTCACGTTGTATGAATGTTCACACATTGTTTGATTCCATGACTCCATATTTCCAGTTCATATTCTAAACACACAGACTAACCTTCAATTAGTTTTTATTCTTTGCCCTGCTGAAGCTAAGAAACATGGGGCCTAATTTCTTTCAATTTTACTCAAAAGGTCTTAGTTTTTGACCAGCTACTTTCCAGCACTAATAAATTGTAATTTATTCTCCAGGATAATATGTTTTTAAAATGTTCTCACCTTAACCTACAATTATTAATGTGAGAACATGAAAGAATGTTCCAGAAATGTCAGTGAGAAGTCTGAATTCATCTGTATAACTCAGAGGGGTGCTGTTCTACAAGATTGTAAGAAAGTAAGACTAGGGGAATTTTTATCAATACGATGAAAAAATAGAAACAAAACTGAACACCATGTTTCTGGATGTACACATGGAATAGTATTTTCAAAGATACAAACAAAGAAAGAATGACCAATCACGGAAAAAAGTCTACATAACACATTTGGGATTCAGAATATAGTACTTAGGACTTGAAGTAATTATTTTAGGGTAAATCACATAGACATCTAATAAAAATAATATTCAGTAACAAAGATAACTTCTTTGGTAAATCTCTCTTTGAAAATATATTTATATTTATATATTAAAAGCTATTTTCTATGGTTCGTCTCTTTTATGGTTTAACGTTTATTCAGACAGCTTTACCAACTTCAATTATAATAAAAAAAAGACTGGTTTTTGTTTGTTTGTTTGTTTATTTCAGAGCAACCGAAAGTGTTTTGAAAGCCTATTTCAGTGTTAGGTACATTTAAGTTTCAGGTCTCTCCTCAAAGGCTAAAAGGCTATACGAATGGAACATGAAGGATGGAATATTTGCTTGAAAAGGACATGGCAGGGAAAGAAATGCCAAAGGTTAAAGGGAATCTAATTGAATTTGGCAGAAGTTTTGTCGCGAGGCTCCACGGCTGAGAGGGATGCTGCGAACAATTATCACCCTTTGGGCAGCTTGAGGACACAATCTCCTTCTTGGCTGAGTGTTAACCTCCGGATATATTCCACTCAATAAGCAGGTTTATGACAGTCTGCACTCCCTGCAGAATAATTGCCCGAGACATGCAAAGTAAATAAACAGTCCTTTCCCCTTTTCTTGCTGGCGAGATGTCAGACATATTAAGGAATTTCTCTCCCTTAAGTATTTCTCTTCCACGTGCTACTTAAAACTGAATCAATCACCAAAAGAAGGCCATTAGAGAGAAGGTTCCATTTGTCAAGAGCCTTATATGTGCCTTCCTATATCAGAGGATGATTTTTAAAACCTGCTGATGTAAAGAGTCCCTCAAGGGCAGGGACAGCATCCGCACTAATGCATCCTGAAAACAAAGGACGCGTTAGCTGGCATATCTCCACCTGCTTGCTTGTCTCTGACACCTTAACTGAGACACAGCTAAGATGGCAGGCCGCCTTTGCTTGGTTACCCTTTGCAGTGTTAACCAAGACTACCGCACAGAGGTAAGAGCATACATACCACTGGGCCGGGATCACCTTTTGGGCCCTAGAAGAAAAACATACAGAGATGTCTTAATTGTAATGAAAACACAGTTACAGAATCTGAGGCATTTTTTTTCTTCAAAATGCCCATTAACAAATGTAAGGATGGTACATATTTTGCTGAAGTTTGGATTTGAAAAAGAAAATTAAGAAATGTGACTTGGGGACGAGAGGAATTGCAGCTCAGTGGTTAAGAGTGCATAATTCTCTTCCAGAGTACCTAAGTCCAGGGCTCGGCACCCATGATGGGTGGATCTAGCTCCAGGAAATCTAGCATCCTCTTCTGGCTTCTAGAGGCATTGTGTGTATATCCCATGCATATACTTACACACCACTCACAGTAACAAACTCTAAAGAAGCAATATGTTGCTATTTCTGTGAGCATGATTAGACGTTGATTAGAACTGAGTTTTGCAATGGAAAAGTGGCACTCTGCTAAATATTTTCCATTAGAAAAGGTTTGTGAAATTTTTCTTTTATTTAAATTGATTTCACTTATTATTTACTATGTCTGTAAAATTTGGTTACATTTGTGGCGTTCAGTTTTCACTGAGCTTGAGAGATCCCCCCACCATCAATCATTACTGTGGTCGAGCTAAAGCAACTTCAAGATATTCATCTGTACTTACAGGGGGTCCCGGGGGTCCTGGGTAACTGGGAACATTCATTCCTCCCTTCAAAGGAAGAAAAAAGAGATAAGAAGAAAATACAGAACCCGACAAGGGGAAAATGATCGCAGGTAACTAGACATGGCGATACCTGGATTTTGTACAAACTGCTCATGCCGTTTCCTTCATTGAGTGGGACACCCTTAGGGAAGAAAGGAGATGCAGAAGTGAGCGTTTGAACCTCAGTCATTTTACCAAATGGCATTCTTCTGATATTATTTTTTACTTAAGTTTCTCTATTCTATACTTAAAGTGGATTTAATATAACAAACAAGCTATCATCGTGTCTCAATGTCTCAAAATGGGAAAGCGGAAAAAAGGAGCCTGAGCCACGTCTGGAGCACCTGGATGTTTCCCGTTTGGGTTTGAGTAGTGTTCAAGTCTGCAGACGAGGCACTAATGTATTCGGAGGGAAAATATTATTTGCTCATTAAAATTCAGTTTCTGAGTCGCCAATTAGCGTGTTTACAGCCTGCTGAACTGCAGGCAGCCGGGTAGTAAGACTGATGAAGATGTGAACAGGGAACGATTTGGTACTGCAAAGTGAGGCTTTCCTACAGTATCTTCAAACCAAACAGAAAACTGAGGTGAACTGGAGGACAGCTTCACTCACAATCCCGTGTCGGCACTTCTACAAAAAAATCCCTAATACCTGGGGAATGTGGAGAAAAAAAAAAAAGAGAGAGAGAGAGAGAGAATCCATAGTACAGTTTGAAAATTTCCATCCATGTTAGCATGGGGAAAATGCACATGAAACATTCAGTTTGGAAGCACCTAGAAAGGACATTAAAGTCTTAGATTAAATATCCAAGTGTTTATTTTCATTTTTTGGTATTTTTTTTTAATATCTCAGAAGCAAAAACGAAGAAGCCATCATTTCATGCCGCTTGGGGATAATGGTGGTGTGCCCAGCAAGCACGGTTCTCACGCATCTGCAAAACAGCAGGGAGGGAAGAAAAAGCTCTGCCTGTTTCTTCTTCTGCTCTCGTTCATTGGGGAATAACTGAGCAGGGGCTATATTTTAGTATGCTATGCCCGGAGAAGACGTAAAAGACTTAGGAGACTTCTAAGAAAGTTTCCCGGAGAAGATGTACAATCTGTCTCAGAAATGAATTATTTTTGAAGAATCCAGAAACAAGAGGAAGATTTATTAAGCCTGATATAAAAACACAGGTCTCTTGATATAATTTTTTTTCCATTGAGAAGAGGAGCTTATTTTAGAACAGAACACCAGGAATTTTCTGTCTTGCTCCTTTATGAAGAAAGAATCAGATGAAGAACATGTTCAAAAAAAGAGAGAGTCGAGCAGCTAGCTTGTGTGCAAAGCATGCAACTGTACACAGGCTCCTAACAGCCACTTTAGGTTTCAGAAGGCTGCCGCGAGACACTACCTCTCTCTCCTAAATTTGCAATGCGAGGAAATAATGGCTGTGGACCTCAGGCTTGCTGCAATTCGACCAAGGCCCCACATGAGGGCAGACTTGCCACAGCGTCCCTGGAAGAATGAATGCAAGTCTGTGGAGACCATGGGGACAAATGTCCAGGGCTCTCGTGAATTTTTCTCACTGCATGCCGTAGAAGGAGAATTCCCTCACGTCTCAAACATCACCCACCGGTGAACACACACAGCGTCTTTGAAAGTCCGAATTGCATGAGAAAGAAAGGACGTCCTTTCAAAGGCCTTTTATTTTCTGAGATGGTAGAGGGTAGTCAAATGATTCTCCATCCTTTGTAGGAAGTCTAGAGGCAGGCCAGCGTACAGCCATGCATTCTGACTCCACACACAACACACACACACACACACACACACACACACACACACACACACACACACGGGAAACTCAGAAGACATAGCTTTCAAGCATCTAAGCCATCTGCCTTATGAGTCTTAAGTGCACAGAATTAAAGTGTAAATCTTAAACAACTCACAGGGGGTCCAGGAGGTCCAGGTTTCCCAGGTGGCCCCTCGCTGCCCTGCAGGAGATATACAGGACCAAATGAATGGCTTGGACATTTCCACTCGAGATTTGTGATCCAGGTTGTCTGAAGAACTGTCTTCTAAAAATCACCATGGCCTATAATATTGCCTCTGCCTTGCAGTCTTTTTCTGCTTACCTTGCTCCTTGGCCCAGTAAAATACATTTTCCCTACTCTAGGAACGTGAATGCCTCTCTCCAACCTGTGTGAACTCTAGGGAAGGACCCTTAGCTTCACTGGGGGAAGACAAGCTAGGTGACCTGCTATGGGCTTTGAGTCCAGTGGGGGATTCTCTCCTCCTCTGTATACATGGGGAAGAAGGGGAGAGTTCGTGCACAGATTGCAGGCTCTGAGACTGTGCCTTCACCAGCCTTCACTCGTGGCTTCACCTCCACCAACTTCAGCTTTGTGGAGCCAGAGAGAGCATTCTAGCAAATTTAGCCAAAGTATCAAATCACACCCGTGTCACACCTGTTGGCTAATATCAAACTCTACAACCAGGTGAGTCGTGTCTTACCGAGCAGAAGTGACTTTGGTATGACATCACTTAAGAGAAATGGCCTGTTCATTTTGTTTGTTGATACCATTTAAATAGCCTTAGGTTTCTGCCTATAGGAGACACAAATTGAAAACGAAGGGGCACTACAATAATCGCTTACTATAAAACAGTAACTAGTCTGTGATTTGAACTGAGACTTGGAAAACGACTCTTACAAAGCACAGACTCCTTACCAGCTCACAGCCAGCAATTGTTGGAGCCCCTTTGGGCTCTTCGTCAGTTGTTCCTATAACTGTGCACTGTTTGTAGAATGGTACCTTTATAAACTTTTCTATGTTGTGGTTGTCAGGGACAGAGATAACACATGGTGAATTGACAGAGTACCCAGAGGGGCTAACACACGAAGTCCAGGAAATTTGAGGGATGCTAGTCCTCTTCCAGAATTTGGCAGACGATTTTATTTCAACAGTCACCTTTTTCTCATAACAAAGCATCACCAATCATATATTTATCAATTTAAAGAAGCTGTGATGGTTCTCACGCAATGCACCGCCTGAGAATGTGTGCACTGAGTAAGCACACTGTATCGATGGCCACTGTCTCCCCAGGACATCCTCCGTCCTGCTGACTGCCGGCAATGTCCTTTGAGCATTACATCATAGTGCTCATGAGTCAACAGTGTGTGCCTATTGAGAACACGTCTTTTCTTCCTTCCTGGCACAATCAGAAGTCAGATTCTCATTGGTGCCCTCAAGCTCACTTCAGTGTGGAATTCCCATTAACTTCAAAGGCCAATCTAGGACAGAAGAATTTTCATAGAAAATAGAGAGGGGAAAAAAAAAAGGCTGGTGGAGCAGAGAAAGATTCGTGAGATATTAGCAGGATAAGAATGTGCTGTGGCTCTTCAGAACAAGTAGGTTGTTTCATTTAAGTGTCCTGGGGGATACTTTGCTCCTCGACGCCACCATGCTCCATTGCTCAGGGAGCTGGCATCCTGGCAAGGGTGCAGGAGACACTTAGCTAGCTTATGTGGCCCCTTGGCACTTAGTTCCTTAACCTGAATAGTTTTAGCTATTTCACCATTTGTGAGTCTATGCCTGGGCTGTCACTGTAATGCCACCTTCAGTCCTACACCCGGACAGCCTGGTGCTCTTGCGCTGTTGGTCTTCCCGCCCTAACACAGCACGCACGGCCAGCTGTGAGCTGTGGTGGTTCATCTTCACTGCCCAGCTGATGAGATTTAGAATCAGCATGGAAACGCACCTCCGGGTGTGTCTGTGAGGACATTTCCAGAAATGTCTAGCAGAGCAGGGGAAGACCCACAGTGGATGTGGACACCATTATCACACGGACTGGAGTCCCCACCGAACAAGAGTACCGCACCAGCATTCACCTTCCTCTGCTTCCGCCTGCAGGTGCAGGGTGACCCCAGGATCTCCTCCTACCATGACCTCGCTGCCGTGATGAATGCTATGAACAAACCCTTCCTGCTTTTGACGTTGTCTCAGATATTTTGAAGTAGCAGCAAGAGTAACCAATACATTCTTTCCCCCAAGAAGCACATTTTCAGTGACTTCCCACTATTGCCTTCTAGGGCCAGCATTTCCAGATTGTATCACAAGACCTTAGGTTACTGATCATTGTCTTTATAGCCGGTACTGCATCTGGAGCCAGAGAGCTTGTTCAGAATCTTTGGGCACTCCTCCCCCAAAACTTACAGCATGGATCCAATTCACAGGGTGATGAATTAGATGGACCCTTTGGGAGACAGTTAGGTCACAGGGAAGAACTTTCATGAATGGGATCAGTGGCCTTATAAAGAAGCCCAAGAGAGCTGAGTTACAGTTGAACTACAAAAGAACTCATTTAGTACATGCCCTTTGTGAACAAGAAGATGGGCCCCAGCGGCTGCCAAAGCTACCAGTGCTTTGACTGGGGACTTTCCAGCTTCTGAGGCTGTGAGAGGCGCTGTTTAGGAACAATTTATAATATTTTGTTATAAAAGCCCAAGAGATTAAGACTCAGGCACAGCTGGAACTCTCTGATATGCTATTATCAATCCAGCTGACCTAGATCTCTTTAGGAGACTTGGACCAGTCACTCTTCCACAGAGACTCATGGCCTAGTCTCAGACTTCAGTTTCTGGATTTTCTCTTTTGTTGTTGTTGATTTTTATTGAGCTCTACATTTTTCTCCGCTCCCCTCCCTGCCTCTCCCCTCCCCACTTCAATTCTCCCCCAAAATCTCCATGCTCCCAATTTATTCTGGATTTTCTAAATCTCACCCCAGTGTTCTCTCTCATCTTACTTTCCTCTGGGAACGTGCCTGTGCTCACACCCACTTTTACACCAGCATCTTTGCACGCACACTTCACGAGTGGCCACTTTCTGACACCATTTGCTCTTGTAGGCTGTTCTTGATTGCATGGATCTCTGAGCAAATGGTTCCACCTTACCCATAACCCAAGCCCCATTTTCCTCTGTACCTTGTCACCTTTGGCTCCAGTGGGACCGGGGTGTCCAGTTCTTCCTGTTAAGCCCTGTGAAATGGACAGCTGAGTTTGTCATAGAACCAACAAGTCAATGCTCAAAGGATGTTGGAAGTTGGTTGCTAAAACTTACCCATGTTGAAGGTCATTTAATCTTAATTAAACCAGTTCTACAAGTTTATATTTCTTGAAGCTGATACTGCACCTGTATTCTCCTGATAACTCTTTGGAAGGGTAAAATTTCTGTCTGTGGGTTTTTTCACCTTGGCCTAACACGTTTAATGACCTTAATTGGAACCTTTTGATACACTTAAGAATTTAGTCTTGCTGTTTAAATGGCAATTTACATAACATTATGTCTTTCTAAATGAGGCATAATTTTGGTAGCGATCAACATTTTAAATACTCTAAGACTGGGCAGAATTAACAATGTGCACATTAAGTTATGTGATCTGCATTGTAAAAAGGAAAACAAAAAAATAAGTTTAATTCTTCTTTGAGAGTAGAATGAGCAGTAATTCTTGTGGTTTCTTTTGCAGTTCTCTTCCATAATTTTAAGTTTTACTGTGCAAGTTTGTTTGACATACTTTGCATATCATATGTGCAAGCATAAATGATAAACTTTTAATTATGGCAAACCCATGATTCAAAACAGTAAGGAATGATCACACTCTTGAGGGATAAAAATAATTTCCTGGCATAGAAGCTTTAAGAGGAGAAAGAAACAGAGAAGTCAAGACATCAACTGAGGGAAGTTAATTCAGTCAGGAAAATGCATTATTTGGGACCAACTTATACAAACATTATTTGTTGGTCTGAAACTCAAGTGTGATTGTGTATCCAGTCTTTTACCCGGCAATTGAACTTTAGAATTGCTTAGAAATAAACTCCAAATAAGAGACTTGGTTTGGCAGGTTGGAAAATATAACATATTCTGTTCCAGAAAACAAGATAACCCAGAGGCCATATTGTTGTGTTCAAGGGGGCAGCAAAACAGTTTTTTTTTTTTTAAAAATTCACATATAGGAATAAAACAAATTAAAACTGATAATCTTTAGCCTGTTATTTTTCTTTGGAAAAGTCTCAGCTTGCGTTGCATCTGAATCTCTTGTCCAAGGTTAGCACCAAAATTTGAAAGTAAAGAGATGATGCACCTGTGTATCAAGCTTTTATTTCCAGTGGAGTGGGAGGATGCTCTTTGGCTTGGCCAAACTTTTGACAGGAGGTCTCCAGGTCACTAAGTGGCTTAACTGATCTTAGAGGAAAATTGGAGGTGCTGATGGAAGCTGCAAAACAATGGCTGATCTACAGAGAGCATGAGAGGCCCCAGGAATACTAATGTACCTTGTAGCATTCCTACAGGTATGACCTGTGAGGAAAATAGTCTTATCAAATACTTACAGGAGGTCCAGTTGGGCCAGGAGCTCCTGAGAGGCCAGGGATTCCTTGAAGACCCTGGAAGAAACAGTTTCTATCATAAAGTTTATTCTAGGAAACAAATCATTTTTGCAATTCAAATATTTTTATTATTGAAAATTAATCATGGGCCTTAACTAATTGAGAAACTTGATATGTAAACCTATAAATAACTAAAATGAAAAATTATCTGTATGGGTGTTTGCTTACATATATATCTGGGTACCACATGTGTGCCTGTTGTCTGCAGAGGCCAGAAGAGCACATTAAAACTGGAGTTACAGATAGTTGTTAAGTCACCACTTTGGGGCTGAGAATCGAACCTGGGTTTTCTGGAGAGCAGAACGTGCTCTGAGACATCTCTCCAGTCTCTAAATACCAGGTTCAAAGAGTAGGTGTGGCAAGCTAAAAATGCCATGGCACAGGATATGTAACAAAGGTAATTGAATCTGTTGGTGATCCACAGAACATTTCTGGTGTTCTATGATACCAGCCAGCAGTAGTATTATTGAGAATTGTGTACTACTCAAACATGCAAATACAGGCTTTGGGTTGCTATAATACCAGTGGGCAAACATTTGCTTGCACCAAAGCTTCATCCAGCAACTGGCAAAGTAAAAAAAAAAAAATGCTTTAGAATATACTTAGTTTATCTGTTTGGTTCACTATAAGAAAAAAAAAAACTCACCTGTGAGTTTACCTGAAAAAATATGGCTTAAGCATCAAAGTGAATGTCTTTTCCCACCCCCTTCCTTGGATTGCCAAGATAATAATTAAATGGGTATGGTTGAAAAACTGGCACATTTATTTACATTTGGGAAGAATTCGTAAGGTAATTTTATTTCTTTATCAGGTGTTCACTACAGGATATTAGCTGAATACATCCCGTAAAACCCATAATATGGAAAGTTTCACAATTACTAAATTACTGTCTAGAAAAACCAGTGGATGGCATGGAAAATAGATGTCACAAATGTATATAGCAGAGGCTAAATTTGTAAACAGCTAGCAATTCATTTCTAAAATGTGTGATTTTTTTTATTTTATCAACCCAAATAGATCATTTTTTAGTTTTGGAAATTTGTGACCAAGTTTATTTGAAAATTCTGGATTTTCAGATTTTTTCTTTCTTTAGCACAGGGAACTGCATCTGTTAAGAGTGATGTGGTGAGATCCCACCAGTGTCTGCAGAAGCGTTTCTAACAGCACATGAACACATGAATTCTTCTGTAGAGGAGTGTGATGTTCTGATAGGACCAGAAGACAGACCAGACCTGTGTGAGTTTGTGTCAGACTTTGCCGTTAGTTGGATTCACTGTCAGCCTGAGTGAGTTTTCCAGATTTTTCAGAGGTTTCCTGGAGTTTGGAGTGTGGGCCATCCTTAATACTCCAATGACCACCTCAACGTGTTGTGGGAACAGATGGAAAATTTAGGTTTCTACAGTTTTGTGTCTTTGCCAATTTTTCTGTAAGAGGTTTAGATCACTTTTTAATCAAAGAAGATAAATTAATCGCCCTTTTGTTGTTTCAGATTAGCATGAAATGCGTCAAGTTCTATACTGAAGGGCTGGGTTGTAGCTCAGTGGTCTAGCACTTGCCTATCAGTCATGAAACTCAGGCTTTGGTTCCCGGCAGTGTAAAATACCAACCAACCAACCAACCAACCAACCAACCAACCAACCAACCATCCAACCAAACCAAAGCCAGACCCAAGTTATGTATAGAATGGTCCCATTCTTTCAAGATTTAATCCCCTTTATCAAATAAAATATTCTTTTTAACTGCTTTAATATTATTTGTTAAAATAGGACTCCTCTGTCTACTGTTCTTAAATGATTATTTTTATACTTATTATAGAGACCAGGTGACATAGCTGTGGGAGAGTGATTGCATCTTTTATGAAACATCAGCAAGACTGAATTGGATAGAGGTTCTTTGAACCCATAGGGAGAACAAGCTCAGCTCTTCCAATTCTAAATAGGATCACAAGTTATTTCAGCTTTATTCATGAGGTGCCGTGGTGGTTTGAATGAGGATGGCTTCTGTGGGCTCGTATATTTGAATGTTAGGTCCCTATTAGGGGTGGTGGTGGAACTGTTTGGGAAGGATTAGGAGGGTTGGCCTGTCTGGGAAGGATTAGGAGGAGGTAAGTCACTGGGAGTGGGCTTTGAGGTACCCAAAGTCCATTCCAGGCTGGGTTTCTCTCTCTCTCTGCCTTGTGCTTGTGGATAACAGGTAAGCTCTCAGCTACTGCCCCAGCACGATGCCCGCCTGCCTTCTGCTACGTTCCCCACCCTGATGATTATGAACTAACTCTTTGAAAGAGCAAGTAAAGCAAACCCCCAACTATATTATTTTCTAAGTAACCTTGGTCATGGTGTCTCTTCACAGCACAGCAATAGTAACTCAGACAGAAATGATCTGAAGAAATACTAAAAGACTCTCTTTGAGTGTGCAGAAATGGCTCACATACTAAGTCTTAGGGAAAAATCTCCTCTATATTTGTGTTAAAGAACATAGTCATTTTTCCTTCAAGACTCTACCAGTCCCATTGGCTGTCTGTCTGTGTGTACACATGCCTGTGCATGTGTGGACCATTCCCATCAGAATGATAGACTGACTCTTTTCATTTTCCTAGTATTAACTTCATGGTCTAATTATAAACAGATTTCTAATTTTATAAGTAGAAAGGAAAAATTTCTATGGGGAATTTCAATGACCGAAATTTAGGCACGTGTATCGTTAAGTTTATCTTGGAACATCTATGTTTCCATGTTTTTCTATACACACCTGTTTCAGGTACGCATGTGCATATTTCTTCCTCTCTCTGCTACTTTACGTCTCAACTTTGAGTTTGTCTAGAGATGCTGAGTGAGGTTTTAGGCTGTCTAATTTATAAGCATGGGACTCATTAACCTTTGATGGCCACATTAAACTTTAAAATAAACCCCACTGCATAAGTAAAAACCATCATTCTCAGCAGTCTTTCTCTCAGCCACATGAAATTTGTAATAAGAGTGGAAAGTTCCTATGGCGGCCCAAAGGGCAATGAGATGGTTTTGTCAGGCCAGACAGCCACTAAAGAAGACAGACATTCAAGATGAAGACAGCCAAGTTAATTACGTATTGCCAGATTCAAGTACCATTAAAATCTATTGCATAGGTATCCAGCCATCATTTGTATACTTCGCAATGAATGATATTTTCATGTCTTGTTTGTCATTCATTATCATAAACTATTATATGAGTACATAAGTCCAAAAAAGAATTTTCTGAGGCTCATTAGGGCAGGATCTGTGTTCTGTTTGCGCCTTTGCAACTTGGTGCTGAGTCAGAAACATAGGTGGAGAACCTGGCTTCCAACACTTTCGAGGATTGACAAGTGAGTGATCCCTCTAACTTAATAAATTATTGATCATTATAAAATCAAAGCTCTGAAAGATATGCTCTACCCCTGTACCTTTTCCACAGAATGAGGAATAGATGTCTGTGGTTTTGTAACGTTAGATAGAATGCAATCTGTTAAGAGAGAATAGCCTGTTGGCCAGTTGGTCAACATTTTATTCACTTAAATGAATCAACGAGCTCTGTAACAAAGGTATTCTTTGAGTCCAAGCAGATAATGCAATTATGTTTACTGTTGTTGAGCTATGTGAAAGATCAAAGTAATGTTGCTTTGTTCCTTTCAAAAGACCAGACTAAGTCAGTATGTTGGGCCAGGTTTATTCATGCTATGATGTAGAGAACAAGGGAAAAGAGCCTTCTGAACTCCATGGGTCCTCTGCAGATTTCGTGTGATCCATGTCAAAGAGTGCACAGAGTGTACCTAAGAAAGACCACACTAAAATATCGAGGACTATAAACCATGGGTTCAGCTCACCAAGACAGTGAAATACCTACAGAATCAATAAAATTTAATGTCTAGTGAATTTAACAGAGTCACTTATAAAAAGCCCAAATTGCAATCATTTCTCAATCTTTTTTTTTATTACTGTCTGAATTGCCTCTACAGCCCAGCTCTGGGATCTAGGCAGTTAACCTGCCTGCCTGCTAAAGCCCATTACTGCGCTTTGCTTCACCAAAACCTGTGCAACTCCAGGAAGCAAAAGCTCATCAATTCTTACTTGTTTTCAAAACACAAATGCCTTTAATGTTTCATTTAGAAATGAAAATAAATGCCATATTTCTTATTCTTTAATTTTTTTAACTTGGAAAACAATCCCAGGCCGATCTTAAAGGTTTCTAGAACACAATGAATATCAATAAAAAACAATAATAAATGATGATAACTTGTAATGTGAATACAGTTCTAAGCAGGAAAATAGATGGACTTTATAGTGTCATAATTTCCCACACTACCATCAAGGTTAATATATGCCAGATGGCTTTCTTACTTTCATTAGGAGAGATTAGCACCAAAACTGTTTAAACTAACAGCAATTCATCATTCTAATTGGTTTTTCTAAGAGTTAATGTGAATTACGCAGGACAAGAAGGATATCCTAAGCATCACTGTGGTTTACAGTCGGGAATTTACACCATTATCTCGAAAGCACGTTTGAGTTGAGTGCTCGGTCCTGGGGTGGGTGAGCTGCTGACCTCAACCAGTATGCATAGACGCCTACCACAGCTTATTTCTCCCAAGCTGAGCAGAGCCATGGAGAAACCAACGTTGTTAAAGTTCAGTCAGGGCACAGGGGTCTTCCCTGGCTGGGCCCTCGGGTCTATGCTTTTTCATTTACCCTTTCCATCTCTTGGCTATCCTGAGGTTTGTTTTTGGGAGTTTCACTCTTCTTTCTTTTCTTGTAAGGACTCGGATCACTACCTGCTACCTAAAAACAAAACTCCCATAACTTTTATATCAATTATTAGCCTTATTTTGTGGCTCCACATCTAGACCACTGGAGATAAATGTGCATCTGTAATTACCAAACATGTGTCACTTTGAAACATCTAACTGTTCTTGGTTTTCAATGGCCTCGATATTGAACACGCATTAGTGAAAACTCAGTGTCTTTCCTTTGTGGAATCAAATAGAGAGAAGCAGTAGCTGAGTGTTTTATCGGAGAGTCTCTTACCTCATCGCCTTTCTCCCCATGCACTCCAGGGTAGCCCCGCTCTCCTTTGCTTCCCTAGAAAGACAGCAACTTCAGTTAGCACTGGACCATTGCAGTATTATTTGTAACAATGGGAAAAACATCACCCATCAGAGCACATGGGGTGTGTCCTTTGCACAGGGCCATGGGATAAACTGATAGCATCATCTGGACATGCCCTTTGCCCCGTGTTAGCAAGGTAAGTTTCATAGGAGTAGGGTATTTTAAAAATGGGATTCTCCATGTTTCATTTAGTTAGAATCTCACAGAAGACTTTCTTACCTTTGGCCCCTCTCTGCCTGGGACTCCTGGAGGACCCCGTGGTCCTGCATCCCCCTGGAAGACAGAGGAGTCAGACCTGCGGGAGGACACCCAGTAGGTGTGCTGCAGGACTCACAGGCATGCCAGCAACCTCTCACCTTCCTGGCTGCTGAATCGTATCTTCCAGGTTCCCCAGTACCTCCTTCATCCCCTTTGTTGCTCTTCAGCCCGGGAACACTGGCTGGACAGTTGCCACAGAAGTTCTAGTGAGCATAAAGACAGTTTCACTGAGCGGTTCCTAAAACCTGTGTATGAAGCTGAGGTTTGATCTATTTGCACCCTTGTCAAACGAGCAATTGTGAGGCCGCTCTACCCTCAGAGACTGTCCAATCTGAAAGATGGCTTTTTGGGGGTAAATACTGAACAAGCCTAATCTGTAATCTTCATTTACAATAGTGGTGAACTTTTAATTAAAACACACACACACACACACACACACACACACACACACACCTCTGCTGCCATTTCAATGGAAAATCCCAAACAAATAGTAGGGGTGGGGAATATAATTTGAGAACACAATCTGATAAAGTTTGTGTGTGTGTGTGTGTGTGTGTGTGTATATATATATACACACACACAATATAGAGCAAAACCTCCAGATACTGATTTCAGAAACATTTTCAGTTAGATGATTCCACTGATGATTTTAGTGGAATTCATATTTAGTAAAATAGGAAAAACATTAAAAAATGATAAAAACCGATAATTGTTTTAACGCAACAGAAACATCTTAGATTTATTTGATAACAGTCTCATTTTCTTCAGTTAGATAAAGCAAGGGAAACTGATTTTTAATAAAGGTTTCTGAAAAATGACTCAATATTATTTTATAGAAATGATTAAGATGCATTCATCACTAGTCAGTGCTCAATCTGCTTCTAAGAGACCTGCCACACAGATTAACCCAGAAAAGCTGGGAGGGATGGTTCGGGGTTAGCATCAGGCCAGGCGCTCTCAATGCTCCAACCGAAGGCATCTTAAAAAGCAGAAAGCAGCTGACAGCTTGTAAAAGGCTCAGGCCTGGAGCTTGAGTCAGTGTGCTGGGTTCCAGGGTCAGGATTTAACATTATGTTATTAGATTGCGTCCACAGGTCAGTCACTAAATCAAATTCTGGAATTTGGGGTTTGGGTGGGGGCTACTTGCTTCCCCTCTTTCTTCTGTTGAATAAAGGTCGTTGGGATCAGCTGCCAAGATTTCCTCTCTGCATCTCACCTGTCCCCTCTTTTGTGACTCAGAACCTCACTGAGATGATTCTGGGATGTGTCAGAGGAGGCTGCCTGGGCAAGACTGTCAGCTCCTCACATCCACAAGACCCCTGAGGGTCTGGTTCTCCTCTTGAAAGAGTCCACTCAGTCTGCTGTCTGTTCTGTGAGGCATCCCACACTCTATCAGAACATTTAATTCTGCTTAAGTATACAAATTTTTCATCCTTCAAGGATTCCAGCATCTAATTCCTACAATCTTGTCTTTTCTAACATTATAGCTGTTAGAAAGAATCTGGGGCCTAATATCCGAGGACGTGCTTGCCTGTATCAGTATCACACTTAATCGCTGTGTATCTGGGCAAATCACACAGCTACTTGGGGTTTCAAGTATCTTCAATGAATGAGAATGGTCCTCCAGCCTGAGCTCATAACATTTTGGTAAAGACTAAATGGGAAAGAAATTAGTAAGGTTGCACTGACTGACACATAATTATAATTCAATATGAGAGCTCCTTGAAACCCTCACAAATATTCCGTATTATAAGAAAATGCTGCTTTCCTTGAGTTCCTAATAACCCCTCCAGAAGTTTTCTTTTCTTTTTTCTTTTTCGTATTTTTGAGACATGGTTTCTCTGTAGTTTTAGAGCCTGTCCTGGAACTAGCTCTCGTAGACCAGGCTGGCCTTGAACTCACAGAGATCTGCCTGCCTCTGCCTCCAGAGCACTGGGATTAAAGGCATGCACCACCACCTCCTGGCCAGAAGTTTTTATATTAATATTTATATTTACATATATTTACCTATCTGTTCTTGAGACTAGACTATGTCTTTTGATTGGCTCAATGCTATAACTCTTCATGTTTACATGTATGCCATTTGGCAAATCATGAGAATAAACACCAGTTGTATAAGGGAAATCACCTGTTAAGTGTGAGTGGTGTACACTTAACAGTTTAACACTTTCTCTTCATCCGAAGACAGGAAATCTCAGAGTGAAATGAAGGGCTACATTTTCATTTGGGATCACCAGCTCTTACTAGACAGCATGGAGACTACATAAACATAGTCTTACCCACTGCCAGACCCCCAGTCTTACTGATAAAACATAGCAAAGTATTTAAGAAAAATGGTAGCCATAGTGAGTGCACATGAGTGTTTGCATGTGTGTGTATGCATGTGTGAGTGTGTGTGAATGCATGTGTGTGCGTGCGTGTGTGTGTACGCGTGCGTGTGAGTGTGTGTACACGTGCGTGTGAGTGTGTGTGTACGCGTGCGTGTGAGTGTGTGTGTATGCGTGTGTGTGTGCATGCATGAGTGTGTGAGTGTGTGTGCGTGCGTGTGTGTACGTGCGTGTGTGTGCATGCGTGTGTGTACGCGTGTGTGTGTGCATGCGTGTGTGTGTACGCGTGTGTGTGAGTGTGTGTGTGTGAGTACGTGTGTGCGTGCATGCCTTTGTGTGTGTGTCTGCATAGTTAAGAGCTGGTCTGAAACTTGTACTCCTGTTTCAGGCTCTTAAAGCCTCGAATTGCAGGTGTGTGCCATCATGTCTCGCCTGAGGTACTTTATGGGATGGATAATCAGTAGAGATAATTTTTGTTTAACAGGGTAACAGATTGTTAGGGCGATTGTTGGCGTTGGAATTTTATAGCTCATTTTGTAAAATTCCATGATATAAAAACTCAATCTGTAAGTGAGTGGCATTGGCTTTCTTCTTGAGACTGCCCAGAACTGACAGAGTGGCAGACAGGCTTCAGGGCAGTGAGCCAGAGGGGGTTGGAGAAAGGAAGAGAAAGCTAGTACTTGAGAGGAGGCAGGATCTACTTTAAGGTATCAACGATGTCACCCCTTCCTGTATGTCATCTCAGTACTGCCTTCCTCCATCTCCGTATCCACAGTGTGGATAAATGGACCCAGAAAGAAGGCAATGGGAAGATTGGTATAAATGCTATACGCTGTAATAAGACATGCATGCTCTTATGTCTTAAATGTTTTCTAGCAGAATTTGAACTGTTTCGGATGAGCAGTTAATTGTTCTATCTTTGGTAGAAAGTTCCTTTTTAACCTTTTCCACACACCGACATCTAATTCCTTTTATACCAAAAGAATACCTTCAGCAAGGCGCCAATGTCTCCCAAGAGAGGAAGTGCAATCTGTAGTTAAGAGAGAGAAACTCAAATCCGTGGCTATTCGCATATACATGAACATAATACGACATGAACATAGAAGTTGATATGTGTTGTGTGTTCCTCAAGTGCCATGCCAATTGTTTTGGAGATGGTGACCCTAACCAGCAGGCTCACTGGCTTAGCTTTATGTTTCAGGGCATGAAACTTACACATAGTACGGCTAGAACCAGAATGTGAGAACAGTCACTGTTCCGTCAGCAAGATCATGCGAGCTTACATGTATCCTTGCTTTGATCATAAACCTGTATGTTAGAGATTCATGACAAGGGAACCTTTATGTTTTCCCTGTGCTGTTGGTTTTAAGTAATATAATGTTTTATTTAATCATTGGGTAAAAGGAAATCACTCATCAAGCATATTATCAGGCTTCTGAGAAATAGGAAGATTGCATGGGGAGTCTGCCTTAAAATTAGCTCTTACAGAAATTCTAATGGTACTTAAGTAGGGACAAGACAGACACCTGGGGCGTGTGGGCTGTGGTTGGGCCACGGGTCTTCAAATGTCCTCTCAGAGGAACACTGTATAAGCCCGAGTGACAGCTGACAGGATGTGAGATGAGGGGCACACGATTCAGCGTTGGAAGTAAAGAAAGCCAGATAATGCTGCCGCATGCGGCTCCTAAGGGCTCAAAGGCACAAGCAGTGTGGGAGGGGAGAGATTCTGAGAAGACGCAGTGAGGGGCCAGGTTTGGATTTTATTATACAAACTCAATGGACAATATAATGCTGTGTGCCATGTGGCCTCTCAAAACTGTAAGTGTTAGAGCTGGGGCTATTGAAAGGGACTTACTGTCACTCATAGCAAGGCTTAACATGAAATAAAGCTATGTAACACACGGTTAGCATCGAAATGCGTTTTTCTGAGATTTTCAATCCAATTTTCATAATTTAATCATTGCATCTGTTCAGAGGCACTCAATCAATGGCTAGGTACCACACTGGAGGTAACTTACCTGCAAACTTTCATTTAGAAAAATGAAATTCATTTACTCACCCAGCATTAGAAAGACTAGAAATTGTGGCTATCTGTTTTATCTCAATTTTCCATGGAACAAAGACTTTAAATGCTAAGGCTCAGCCTGGGGCAAAATTGTACAGCTGAATTATACCCTTAGGAAATAAGAATTCATCACACACGCACAATAATGCTGACCCAGCTTGAATTTTCCCCCCTCTACAAAATAATGGGGATAAACAAAATCACCAAGTAGTCACGGAGCATGGCAATTAGTTTGGACAGCAAAATTTGCTTGGTTGGCTGTTTGGCTTCTGGGTGCATTAAAGATACATAAATCAGGCTTTGCCTGCCTACATACCGGGTCACCTGGGGGGCCTGGAAGGCCTGGCTTCCCGTCTCTCCCTGGAGGTCCCTAAAAACAGAAGTCGCTCATTCAAACCTCTGCAAGTTACAGCTGATTAAAACAGACACGGGTGGGAGCTGGGGAAAGGTCCTTACATCATTCCCTGGGGTCCCTGGAGTTCCTGGCAATCCAGGCAGACCTCGAGGACCCTAGAAAAATGAAGAAAACAATGTTACTAGGATTGTCTTTTGAGCAGTTTCCGGCAATCAAGAAAACTGAACTTCTTTTGTGCGTAGTTTAGTGAAGTCACTTACCTGAATACCTGGCTCTCCGGCGGGTCCTTGGAAGCCCTGGGTAAAAAGAGAGAGAATTATCTAACTTCTACCAGGGATATTCATAAATGCCCCATCCTTTACTTAGCAGAAAAATGAGGTTTGGCACTTGCACAATCTGAAAACTCTGTAAGTCTTGCACACAGTTTCTGGTGGGCTCACCATGACCTCAAGCCGTAGTTAGAGAACCAGATATTCAAGGCTGGATGCACAAGACTTTGCTCACTTACTTGGATTTTTTTTTATTCCACTCTGCTGCTGCACACTCAGAAGTGTGCAAGCAATGTGTTCATATCCTGTCAGGTCAGAAACCAATTGCCCATGGGGCTCAGGAACCTGAGCCTCCTTTTTCTTTGTTGACTCAGTTTTCTCTTCTTCATTTGCTTATTATTTTTTTGAAAGTAGATTCTTCTCGCATACAATACAATTCCAAGCACAGTTTCCTCTCCCTCCACTCCTTCCAACTCCCTCTCCTTTCTTCTCTCCCTCAGACCTGCCCTACCTAGGTTTCTTCTGCAGAAAAGAGACGGCCTCCAAGACACAACAACCAAACACAGCAGCACAAGATGCAATAAGACAAGGTAAAATCCCTCATGTCCGGGCTGGACAAGGTGACCCAGCAGGAGGAAAAGAGTCCCAAGAACAAGCAAGAGAGTCAGAGACTCTTCCACAGTTAGGAGTACCACAAAAGCACCAAGCTAACAGCTAGAACATGTAAACGTAGAACCTGGTACGAACACATGCGGGTTCTCGTTTTCCTCTTTAGAAAAAGCAGGGCCCAGTATTCAGTGGTGGGCGTCAATGGCTAACTAACAGCACCTGGAGTTATTTTCTACTTCTGGAATGCTGAGGTTTGGAATAACTCAAGTGAGGCTGAAGTTAGCCAAGAACCCAATGACATTCATTCTGGCTATGTATATCTTTGGGTCATTGAATTTCTGGTGCACATGACTTCAGTTTTAGCACTTGGGAGACAGAGGCAGGCCGACTTCTGTGTGCTCCAGGGCAGGCAGTCTTAGGCAGTGAGATTAGCCAGTTATCCCTATGTAGTGACACCCCATCTTTAAAATCTTTTTTTTCCTTTAAAGCAGTTGGTATCAGCATTTGCTGGGTTCTTTATTTTATTTAAAACTATTCATAGCATCGTTATTATCTAAGCCTTTTTGTTGCTTTTTTATTGTGGTATTTTTTCCTATAATCTTGTTACCTGTTTAAAGAGTTATTGACATAATGTTTTATCAACTGTTAAAGTAGTGTGTAAATCAATGGTTTCCATTCTGGCATTTTCACACACACATTGCTCCAATGGGTATCCCTCCACCATTGCCCCCTCCTGGCCTGTTTTCTTCCTGGTGGTCTCCATTCTCACCATAAGACATGCCTTCTGCTTCCCTCTCAGATGTATTTCATTACTCTCTCTTTTCTTTCCCTCCCCTGCTTCCATTTCTACTTATGTGACTTACACACACATACACACACACACACACACACACACACACACACACACACTTACACATGTACTATTTGTCTTTCTGAGTCTGGCTTATTTCACATAATAGAATGATTTCCAGTTGAATCCATTTTCTGCAAATGTCATGATTTCCTTTTCCTTTATGGGGATGAATAAAACTCTTGGTGTATACACATGACGTTTTCTTCATCTGTCAAGAAAGCCCCTGGGCTGGTTCCATCCCTTTGCTATTGTGAAGAGTGAAGAAATAAATATCAATGTGCAGTCTCTTTGGGGTAGGCTGAGCTAGAAGGCTTCTGGTATGTTCGCAGAGCAGGATAGCTGGGCCATGTGGTTGTTCTCGTTTTAGTGTTTAGGAGACCTCCTAGTGATTTCTGTAGATGTTGAAGTAGTTTATATACACACCAGTTGTGCATGAGAGCTACACTTTTCTCAGAGTATTTGTCTCTGAGAAATACTCAGGCGATGATAGCTTTTTCTGACTGGGGTGAGGTGTGTGTGTGTGTGTATGTGTGTGTGTGTGTGTGTGTGTGTGTGTGTGTGTGATATACTTGTGTACACGGGAGTCTTGGTGTTGGAAGCCCTGGAACTGGAGTTACAGGATGTTGTGGGTTGCCTGATGTGGGTGCTGACAGAAGAACTTGCTTCCTTGGAAAGCTCACATATTCAAGACCTGAACTGATGAGTCATCTCTCCAGTACCCAAAGTAGCTTTAACTTTTATTTCCTTGATGGATAAGGACGTTAAACACTTTAAAAGTTATTGATTGGCTATTGTGCTTTTTCTTTTAAGAGCTATTTAGTTCATTAATCCATTATTGATAGAGGAATTTCTTTCTTTCTTTCTTTTTTTGGTTTTTCGAGACAGGGTTTCTCTGTGGCTTTGGAGCCTGTCCTGGAACTAGCTCTGTAGACCAGGCTGGTCTCAAACTCACAGAGATCCGCCTGCCTCTGCCTCCCGAGTGCTGGGATTAAAGGCGTGCGCCACCACCGCCGGGCTTTCTTTCTTTCTTTTTTTCTTTCTTTCTTTCTTTCTTTCTTTCTTTCTTTCTGCCTTTAGTTCTTGTAGTTTTTATAGATTCCAGATATTAGCACAGAGATGCCATCTTTACAGTCCTCTCCTGTCCGGTGGTTGCTTCCTTTGCGGAGCAGAAACTTCTTAGCTTCACAGTTTCCCAATTGCCAGTTTTTAGCTTTCTATGCTGCTGGATTTCATTTCAAGAATGGTTTCTGCATAGACCTGTATTTCGAGGAGTTTTTCCTCATATTTCCCCTATAGTTTCTGTTTTTATATTAAAGTCTTTGATTTATTTTGACTGATTTTTTTTCTTCATGGTGTATGATATGGGTCTATTTTCTTGTATATCTGATGATCTGTTTTTCCCTGCACCATTTGTTGAAGAGGCTATTGTTGTATTCCAATGAATCTTTTTGATACTTTTCTCAAAAACTAAATGGCTGCGGCAGTGTGGATTTATTTCTGGGTCTGTCATTCTCCTCCCTTGGTCTACATATCTGTTCACGTGTCAGAACCATGTCGTGTTGGCAGTATGGCTCTATAGTGCATGTTGAGATCAGGTATTGTATTTCTAGAATTTCTCCTTCTGATTAGGATTGCTTTTGCTGTTCAGGGTCTTTGGGCTTCTATATACATTTTAGCATTGCTTTTTCCAGTTCTGTGAAGAACATCATTGGAATTTTGACAAAGATATGTTGAGTGTATGGGTGACTTTTGGTAATATAGATATTCTCATGGCACTAGTTCGGTCCATTTGTGAGCATAAGTGATGTTGCCAACTCCTAGTATCTTCTTCAGTGCCTTCAAGTTTTCATTGAACATGTTTCTGCTCTCTCTAGTCAGGCTTATTTTTAGGTAGCGCCCCTTCCATGCCTGGCTAATTGAGCGAGAATTTTCCCCCTGATATTTCTTGTTAAGTTTCTTCAATGCTATATAGAGAAGGTACTACTTTTTAATGATTAGTTTGCACTCTGCTACATTGCTGAAAATGCTTTACCACTCTTAGAGTTTTCTGGCAGTGTCTTCAGGGCCTTTAAAGGCAGTGTAGGGTGAAGTAGTGTCTGAACCGCAACAATTTGATTCTGTCCTTTCCTGTTCATATCTCTTCTATTTTTTCTCTCTTCTGACTGCTTTATGTAAGACTTTGAGCACTGCAATGAAGAAGACTGGAGACAAAAATGTAACCAACTGGGGTGCAATAACTTGACTGAATATTACTTACCGTCCTGCCAGGGATTCCTACCCCTGGTGGGCCTGTGTCCCCAGGGGAGCCATGGATACCTGGTAGTCCTCTTTCCCCCTGTGAGAGCAAGTGCTCCTGTTAGGATGAGGTTCCAGACATTTGCATTTCCAGTTACATTTTCTTAATTATTAATTCTTTTTAAAATTAGCTATGAAATCTGTATACCTTTGGCCCACGTGGGCCAGGTGCACCAGGATTTCCATCTAATCCCTAAAAGGAATAAAAAAAAGGAAGATGATTACATTTATTTTTCTACATAACTAAAAAAAATTAGAAGTTATCATTTGAAAACATGATTCATTACCCTTCATTTTACTTGAGTAAGCCTCATATTAAGAAAAGAGAGAAAATTTTAGAAAGTTCTAGATTTTGCATAATTAGCTCAAAATATAGGGTTTTATCTGTGAAATTAAACACCTAATCTTCAGAATTATTGCCATTGATAATTGTTATAAAATGTAGAAAATAGGCCAATCAAATAAGCATATTGGCTTTTGGGTTTTCTGGTAATACAATTTCCTGCGTCCTGAGTAGAGCATGGATCATATACACTCTCTATGAATGATGGTCTGTGGTTATGTCCTTAAACTCCAGAAGGGCAAGGTTGAGCGTTTGTTTTAAGGCAGTGTCCTAATACGGTCTATGGCTCACAATTTGTGTTTAAGGATTTATAGATCCTTGAGGAACCAGTACATAAGGTTCTGGGACCTTTGAAACATCTCAGTTTATCTGTAAAATACTGCAGCCTGTGTATCTTCTGCAGCTGAGACCTCTCGGCTTACATCCAACATTCAAATTGTTTTAGCTTTAGGAGCTATGGTATAAGATCTATCCTTCCTTCCTTCCTTCCTTCCTTCCTTCCTTTCTTCCTTTCTTCCTTCCTTTCTTCCTTATTTCTTTCCTTTTTTTGGCAGGCTTAAAGACTACAGTTGTATCTTGAACCCGGGGGCCCAGACTTAGCAGTACATTAACTCTCAAGGGCAATCCTAGTGAAAGGGTGATACTTACTGGTTTCCCTGGCAGGCTTTTCCCTGGAGGCCCAGCATCACCCTTTGGACCTGGAAGTCCAGGAGGGCCTAGCCTTCCACCTGCATCTCCCTGTGAAAACAAGATGAGATTCTTTCTTTCTCTGCTGAGGTTAATGATGGGAAGCTGGAAGATGGCAGTTTCCATTGCTTTATTTTGTCATAGCCAGGCAAACTTCATCTTTGTGTTCACTTCTGTACTCACACCCTCAAAAGCATTTACAAGTGCCTAGCTCACTCTAGGACCTGCCCTTGTTATTTTAAATACATTCACATTCTGAAACGAGTTCTGTTATATAAAGTTGAACAGTACCAGGAAACACAGACTTGTATATAAAATGTGGAGGCTCCAAAATTTGAGCCTATTTCCACCTTGACCAAATATCGGAGAGTTGGAATTTATTTCTAGAAGACAATAACTCCTTCAAGGTTATTGTCTGTTTCTACCTCAAACAAAGGTTCTACCTAGATTTTAGGTCTGTGGGTTTTGCTCTCCCAAGGTTATTGTCAACAGGTGTGGCTAATATCCAGACTTGTAGTATTCAGGAATAGAGAAGTAGATATGTTTTTACCCCAAACAAAAGTCTAAGGGTTCAACTAAATTCCAGTTCCCTTGGGAAGGTATCAATGGATTCTACTTAGAAAGTGGTTTGCCTACGAACGTTTTGGTCTAGGGTGTGAGCATTTCTTATCTTGTTCTAACCACAGGATGTTTATTTTTTTAATTTATTTATTAAAGATTTCTGTCTCTTCCCTGCCACCGCCTCCCATTACCCTCCCCCTCCCCCAATCAGGTCCCCCTCCCTCGTCAGCCTAAAGAGCAATCAGGGTTCCCTGCCCTGTGGGAAGTCCAAGGAACCCCCACCTCCATCCAGGTCTAGTAAGGTGAGCATCCAAACTGCCTAGGCTCCCACAAAGCCAGTACGTGCAGTAGGATAAAAAACCCATTGCCTTTGTTCTTGAGTTCTCAGTAGTCCTCATTGTCCGCTATGTTCAGAGAGTCCGGTTTTATCCCAGGCTTTTTCAGACCCGGGCCAGCTGGCCTTGGTGAGTTCCTGATAGAACATCCCCATTGTCTCAGTGTGTGGGTGCACCCCTCGCGGTCCTGAGTTCCTTGCTCGTGCTCTCTCTCCTTCTGCTCCTGATTTGGACCTTGAGATTTATGTCCGGTGCTCCAATGTGGGTCTCTGTCTCTGTCTCCTTTCATCGCCTGATGAAAGTTAATATTCAGGAGGATGCCTATATGTTTTTCTTTGGGTTCTCCTTATTTAGCTTCTCTAAAATCACTAATTATGGGCTCAATGTCCTTTATTTATGGCTAGAAACCAAATATGAGTGAGTACATCCCATGTTCCTCTTTTTGGGTCTGGCTTACCTCACTCAGGATAGTGTTTTCTATTTCCATCCATTTGCATGCAAAATTCAAGAAGTTTTTGTTTTTAACTGCTGAGTAGTACTCTAATATGTATATATTCCATACTTTCTTTATCGATTCTTCCATTGAAGGGCATCTAGATTGTTTCCATGTTCTGGCTATTACAAACAATGCTGCTATGAACATAGTAGAGCATATACTTTTGTTGTATGATAAGGCCTCTCTTGGGTATATTCCCAAGAATGGTATTGCTGGGTCCAGGGGTAGGTTGATCCCCAATTTCCTGAGAAACCACCACACTGCTTTCCAAAGTGGTTGCACAAGTTCGCATTCCCACCAGCAATGGATGAGTGTACCCCTTTCTCCACAGCCTCTCCAACAAAGGCTATCATTGGTGTTTTTGATTTTAGCCATTCTGACAGGTGTAAGATGGTATCTTAAAGTTGTCTTGATTTGCATTTCCCTGATCGCTAAGGAAGTTGAGCATGACCTTAAGTGTCTTTTGGCCATTTGAACTTCTTCTGTTGAGAATTCTCTGTTCAGCTCAGTGCCCCATTTTCTAATTGGGTTGATTAGTCTTTTACAGTCTAGTTTCTTGAGTTCTTTATATATTTTGGAGATCAGACCTTTGTCAGTTGCAGGGTTGGTGAAGATCTTCTCCGAGTCAGTGGGTTGCCTTTTTGTCTTAGTGACAGTGTCCTTTGCTTTACAAAAGCTTCTCAGTCTCAGGAGGTCCCATTTATTCAATGAGGCCCTTAATGTCTGTGCTGCTGGGGTTATACATAGGAAGTGGTTTCCTGTGCCCATCTGTTGTAGAGTACTTCCCACTTTCTCTTCTATCAGGTTCAGTGTGTTCGGACTGATAGTGAGGTCTTTGATCCATTTGGACTTGAGTTTTGTGCATGGTGATAGATATGGATCTATTTTCATTCTTCTACAGATTGACATCCAGTTTTGCCAGCACAATTTGTTGAAGATGCTCTCTTTTTTCCATTGTATACTTTTAGCTATTTAATTGAAAATCAGGAGTTCATAGGTTTGTGGGTTAATGTCAGGGTCTTCTATTCAATTCCATTGGTTGACTTCTCTGTTTTTATGCCAATACCAAGCTGTTTTCAATACTGGAGCTCTGTAATAGAGTTTGAAGTCAGGGATGGTAATGCCTCCAGACGATCCTTTATTGTATAAGATTGTATTGGCTATCCTGGGTTTTTTGTTTTTCCATGTAAAGTTGATTATTTTCTTCTCCAGATCTAACCACAGGATGTTTAACTATGAATGTAGCCCACAACCTTTAGTTGGTATGTTCATTTCCTTGTATCATTTTAATGCAGTTTTTTAAAAATCTTACTCTTATTTTTTGGGATTGGGGTATTTTAAGAAACTGGAAATTAAATGCAGGTGATTTCAGTATTCACTGAAACTCCCTCCCGGTATTGTCCTATGCTTCTGTTTTATTATTTTCACTCACATCTTCGCCCTCTTTACTATTTTTCTGATCCCCGTGTTTCCACCCTGGTATTTTTGCTGAAGCCGGTCTCTGACAATAAAACACGACACAAAGGGCACGACTGTTCATGAAGTTCTTTAGATGATCTACATACCTTATTCCCTGGGGAGGACACACCATACTGATATGCCATCTTCACACACATCCAAACAGATGGTAAGAGGCAGAAAGACTTTTGAGAATTCAAAGCTTGACCTCAGCCCTAACATTTTCATTTTCAAGTTAGCTCATTTGGTTACCTGAAATTTCTGTGCCATATCCATGCCCGCGATGATGCATGACACCAGGGGCGCATATCACAGGTTATGTGAATGTATTTCCCTTGTACTAATAAGTCCTGGGAGGCTCAAGTCTCATTAGGCTAATCTTTGGCTTCTCTAGTGACTTTAGAATCCTTGGTTTCTTCTTTCTATTTACTTACATACTGCACAAAAGTAAAGTTTAAACGGTACCTTCTCTCCTTTAATGCCTTTTATCCCTGGGATACCATGTTCTCCTGGCAATCCCTAGAAAATACAGAATTAAAGGGAAAGAGCAGTTAGAACCTCTCTTAATGTAAGGGGATGGAATTTTAACATCTCTCTATAAGGTAATGCTGATTTGGCCTAACGGGAAATGTTATTTGAAAATACGTGGCTTGTTGTCTCAAGTGAAGTCAACAGCTATAATGGGAATGGGAAAAGAACTGAAATGTTACACCTAAGAGGAGGGAGGGTGATGGTTGGTGGCATTGCAACCCAACTTAAGTAGTCAAGATACTTTTATTATGTTTAACCACAAAACCACAGTGACTCTTTTCCTTTTGATTTTATTCTTTTTGTTGTTGCTATTGTTCCTAGACAGTTTAGTCTAACCGGAGGATTTTGTGGTTAATCTTGTGTTATCAATATTTTCTCTTTTTATGGTGTCTTTCAAAGGGTTATCTCAGATGTGGTCCAAAATTGGCTTGTAGGAAGAATAAAAAACAACAAACTTTCCCTAGGCTAATAGTGGTGATGCATGCCTTTAATCCCAGCACTGGGGAGGCAGAAGTAGGTGGATTTCTGAATTCAAGGCCCTTGTCTACAGAGAGAGTTCTAGGATGGTCAGGGCTATATAGAGAAACCCTGTCTCCAATAAACAAACAAACAAAACCTTTGCCCTTTGGATTGGTTGTTCAAATTAGCAAGCACACTATGATGCTAACCAGGAGACTCCAGGAGGCTCAGGCCATAAGCATTGGAGCAGGGAAAGAATTCATGGACTGCTCCCAAGATGATAGAAAAGGAGCCATCTCAAGTCTGCCTACCTAGAATCCTAGTCATGGACAGAGAAAGAGTCACTGTGAGCTGAGGCCAGGAATTTTCTCCATTTTGATCTAGTATCTGATTGTAAGCTCTCAATTCATATGGGGAGCCCAGGATATTATCCAAGGGGTAGAAATCTGGGGGGAATAGATGAAAAAAATGCTTCCAAAGAGCATGAGGGTTTGTCTGTGTGAGAGAGAGACGGGGGGGGGGGGGGGCGGAGAGAGCCCACTACAGTGACTTTATTTCACAGAACACTGGAAATGCTTGCTGTCTTTCTTGATTTTATCTTATTTCCTCGGATATTTCTACTTTCCTCTATTCTACAGTAGTATTGACTATGACAATTGAGTTAACCTGAGTTTCAAAGATTGGATTATTAGGCTCCATCCCAAAGGACTTCCCAGTAGCAACCCCCCACCCCCGACATCAGAAGTGACATTCTGGGTGGTGGCGGTGACCCATGTTTTTAGGAAATGTAGTATAATTCAGCTCATTGATATGTTCTTTACGACAAATCCTAATCTCAATTTCATCTCAAAATATTGAAGATACTATACATACAACATCTCCTGGTGGTCCTCTGGGCCCCATGGAACCTGCAGGTCCTTGCTGACCCTAAAATAGAAGATAATCGATGCTTTAACTCTGCATGAAAATAGATTGTATCTGAGTGTTGGTGAAATACCTTGTGCCCTTGACAGGGTAGAGACGGACTTCTCAGCACCCCACCTTTGTGTCCAGTACTGACACATGCTCTGAGCTTAGCTAGACAGTTCTGAGATGCTTCATTTAATGGGTCTGCTCTTATCAGCAGGTGATAACCAGGTAACTGGCCTCATGCACTGCTAGGAACATTCTCTGAGAGTCTCTCTCCCACCTCCCCCAACTGCTTTTTCTTAAGACACTCCTGCAGAATTTCCTCTGGGGAATGCAAACATCTCAGGGATGCATAATTTTAGTGTAGAAGCAGAGCCTGAATCCTTCCTCTCCCTGTCAAGAACGTGGCACAGGGTCATAGATTTAACTGATATTGTTTACTCTGAAAGCTTTTGTGGATGCCATTGTGAACTGCCATTGCTCTTAAAAAGGATTTTGAAGTCCCACTGTATAGCAAAAGGCCTAGCTTCTGTGCCTGTAACAAATGCAGCCAGTGGTGCGGTGGGGAGGGAGGTCACCATGGAAACGAGATAAAATCTCTGAGAACATCTGTGAAGAAAATGAATGGCATGCCAAGGCCTTTGTGCATACAGGATGGCTGTAATTCCCACATTATTTCCCAATAGTGACTCCTTATACACCTTAATATGTGAAGTACATACCTTTAGCCCTGGGCTCCCTGTTAGACCAGGGGGACCAGCATCTCCAGGTTCCCCCTAAATGCAAGAGTGGAAAGGAAAGTTAGATGTTACTATTATTTTCAGCATCTCATGAAGGCTGCAAAGGTGAATGAAGAAATGCGGGGGTATTACCTTCATTCCCTGTGGTCCTAAAAGGCCGGGCTCTCCCTGTAAATAAAAGAGTTGCCATATGGTTCATTGCTGAATCCAGATAGGGTTGGACATCTTGATACTTTAACTGACTTTCTATCTGTTAGCATACAACAAAGTGGACATTGTGGAAGCAATGTAGTCCAGCAATGCTCACCCTAAGACCAGATCCAGAACCCTTATTGTCAGGAAGTAACAAAACTCCTCATTTCATTTCTTTACTTGGGACAGCACATACGGTAGTTTGGATGTATTTGACCCCCATAAGCTCATGGAGAGTGGCACTTTTAGGAAGTGTGACCCTTGTCGGAGGAGGTGGGAGGACACAATCCAGACTTGAGGATGCAGGGCACACCTTTAATCTGAGCCACACCTTCTGTTGGAAATGTGTCACTGGGGGTGGGTGGGCTTTGAGGGCTTTTTCTTAGGCTTCACTCAGTGTGACAATCAGTGGACTTCCTGTTGCCTCTGAGTCAAGATGTAGGACTCTCAGCTCCAGCACCACCTCTGCCTGAATGCTACCATGCTCTCTGTGATGAAGGACTGAAACTCTGAACTATAAGCGAGCCCCCACCCTAAATATTTTCTTCATAAGGATAGCTGTGGTCATGATGTCTCCTCACAGAAATAGAAACCTAACTAAGACATCATGGCATGTTAGCAATGAGCCATTCTCCACCAATAGTCAACCTCAGATGAGAGGCAGGATAGAATAGGTTAAGTTCAAAAGAGTGTGTGCTGGTAATCCTACTTCCAGGTGCTTAATAAAAAGAGAAAAATTGTATGAAATAGCACAATCTTTGCTTATTTTCCATGCCTCACTTGAAAGTTCAATCCTTTGCCTTTAACAAAAAATTTAAAAACCTGTACTCACTGTTTTAGTTTTATAGTTTAGATATTCTTCTACTTCTTCTCCCTCCCTCCCTCCCTCCCTCCCTCCCTCCTTCCTTTCTTCCTTTCTTTTCCCCTGAGACAGGATTTCTGCCTTGGCTGTTCTGAAACTCCCTCTGTAGACTAGGTCAGCCTTGGCCATTAACTCACAGAAATCCGCCTGCCTCTGACTCCAGAACGTTGGGATTAAAGGCATGTGCCACCACTACCTGCCAGTTTAGATACTCTTAATTGATGACTTTTATGACATTGAAGTATAACCACTAATAGCAGTAGGCTACAAAAACCAAACCAAACCAAACCAAAACCCTGAATAGGGCTGGTGAGGTGACTAAGAGAGTGAAGGCAGTTGCCCCTGAGCCTGAAGACATGAATTCAGTCCTCAGGACCCACGTGATGGAAGGAGAGAGCAGACTCCCACAAGCTATCTTCTGATCATCATATACGTACCAAGGCATGCATACAAAATGTGGTACACACGTACCATCCCCGTAAAATAAATGTAAAATAAAAATACAAAAGAAAGCCTTCCTAACCCAAATCAAATGTAAAAGTGTTACCACAAGATAGCATTGACCAAGCATTAAAAACAATAGTAAAAAACAGCAGAAGAGAGTACAAGCTTCAGGAACTTAGTCTATCAAATCAATTAGGAGCCGAACCACAAAAGGGAGAGAGAATCAAAGAAATAGAAAACCCAAGGCAGCACTGAACAGCTACTTACTCTATCTCCCTTTTCACCTCTGGTTAAAGGCTCCCCCTAGGAGAATGGGCAGAAACCAGAATCAATTATAAACACTTAGAAATCAACTCTGACAGGGGTAAGTGAGAATGACTTTACAGATTCCTCCACATTCCCAAACGAGCACAGAGTTAATCATTTTAATACCATTTAGGGGCTCCCAACAGCAGTCAAATTGAAATGCTGCCCTAAGCTAAACCTTCCTATTCTGAAATGAAGACGCACACACAAGCATCCTTAGCTATCAAGAAGTTGCTATTATTATATCCATCTACAGTAGAAGAAACTGAGGCACAGATTGGCCACAATTCTTCAGGCTCACTTCCTCTCCAGTGGTGACTGAGAAGTTTGCATGTGCCTAAGGATGAAGCCATAGGATCTGGATGAGCTTGGTGGCTGAGTGTGGGGGCGAGAAACAAGCACCTCTTCTAAATGAACCAAGCTGCCCTCTAGTGCATGCCGGGGGCTAACTTTTCTCATGTTAAAGCCATAGATATGTTACCTGGTGTAATCACACAAACTGTGATCTATGTAACGTAATGTCATTTTTTGTTATGGGTTACTTTTTACATGTTAGATCAGGGCCTTGTTTATAGTCTTACTTTGCATATTTTCATCCTAAAATTATGTGTTCAACTACTAAGGCATTCATGGTGGGCCACTTTGTTTCCACCTTTGCTTGTAACCTTGATATCTACATTGAATTCCCCACTCCCTGGGGCTTAATCCAGGCCAGTGCCTTATGGAACTGAATCCTAAATTTTCTCATCTTACTTTTTTGTTTGGAGATTAGGTTTCACTAAGTTGCCCAGTTAGCACCTGAACTCTGTATCCTAGGATAGCTTTCAACTTGTGGTCCTCCTACCTTATCCCCCTGAATAGCTGGGATAACAGGCCTGTGCCTCCAGGCCTGGTTCAAAGTCTACATTGATTGGTGTTGTTTGTAGGAATCTGGTTGACTGAGGTTTCCAATTTAATCTCATCTCCTCTGAATACTAACTGGGAGTAGCCATTTGAAGTTTTTGAGCCCCCTTTTCCTTATCTATAAAATTGTGAATTTTAACTAGATCCTTCTGTATACATATTTTAGAGCTCTGATACATAGCACATACCATCATATGCTAAACGCATGAACATTGCTACTAGCTAGTCAGGCTTGCCAGATGGTTGAGTTCCAGGTTCAAGAACACACACACACAGACACATACACTAAAAGTTGAAACTGGATTTTGTAACTAGGCTTCTGTTATTTCTTAGGTGGTCCTATCTGAATACAAATGAGGTGATGGAGTTTTCTTTTCTTCTTTTTTCCCCACGCGAGGAAAAGTTTTCAAAAAAAGCAGCCACAGCGATATTGGAAGGCGGCTGTGCGAAGTCACTGTGATCTCACAGAAACCAGGAAGGAAAATAACTTCAGAGGTGTGCTGAGAGCAATTGTTTGAGCAGAGAGAGAAGCGTTTTCAATTTTTAAGACAAATTTGTACCAGTCTTGATATATTGATTGTGTTTCTCACTTCAGATACGGTGTTCAGTCATCTCCAGGCAACTTAAATGGTTTGAGTGTCTGGGTTCTGGAACCAGCCTAACCTATGTGCAGAATGGGCTTCCTCAGGGGACTTTTTATATGAGTTACATGAGTTAATATATAAAAGATCTGGTGCCTGGCATGGTGTGTACTTGCTTCAGAATCTGATCTACACGGCTGTTCAGACTGTTAGAAGTAAAGGGCCATGGAATTGCTGCTGGGAAAAGACTTTTAATTCTTCATCTGTTTTTTTCTTTCTCCCTCTGTTCTCAAGGATAAAATACTTACGGGTTCTCCTTTCTGTCCTTTAGGGCCAACAGACCCTGGAAATCCTGGCATCCCAGAGTCACCCTGTCGAGACAAAACAGAAGAGAGATACCGCCTGAGTGAAGAGAAATTCTCCCTTCAGCCTCAGAATCCAGCGGCCTGGGTCCAGGGCCTCGGTGAAGCTCCATACCTAGGCAGTCTGTTTGCCTAATAAGGAGTCTTTGCCCTCCTCCATGCCGTAGGTCTTCCAGAAGTCCGTAACATTTTATTAGGACATTTAAAATTAATGCGGAACAATGTTAATTATTTTTCAAGGACAGGACACATAGAGGAGAAAAGAATTACAGTTTTGTTCTGGTGTAGCTAAAACATTATTTACTTAATTTTGCCTTTAAATGACACAACAGTCTGCTCCTGTTTTCTTTTCAGGACTAATTTCTTATTTTGAGTGGGGTGGGGGGAGTCAGTGATCGCAGAGAGAGAAATGAGTCTGCCCCAGCATTTCCCCATGCTATGTGGATGACTGGCTGGATACAAAGAGATCACTCTCATGGATATGGTGACAGCAGCAGCTTAGAAATGTCTAAGATGCCCTGGTCAAAAGTGTTGAAGAGGGATTTGTATGTGGCATGGAAAGAGGACTTTCAGTTGGAGAGAGTGACCCTCGTCGGGGCAGAACATGCTCTTAACTGCTGAGCCATCTTTCTAGCCCTGATATATGATGCATCCTAGCAGAAATAGAAAAACAAAATGCATCTTGTATATCCCTGGCAGTACTTTACCACATTGTAGGTGGTATGTCTTATTCCTAAAACCATCCCCGTGTGGGCTGGCGGAGTCCACCATGAGACAAGTGGCTACAGCTTCCCACCAGCAGGAGGCTCCGGCGGGTTACCAGCAGTGCCGGGCGCCGGCTCCAGAGTCCGGCACCCGAGCGGAGGCAAAGTTCCCATCAGCGGGAAGCCACGCGGCAGAATTCCCATGCAGCGGGCGCATGTGAGCAGACCCATGGACACAAAAAGTAGCCATAACAGCATTTATTAAAAGGGAGAAAGGGGGAGAGAGAGAGAGAGACAGAGAGAGACAGAGAGAGAGAGAGAGAGAGAGAGAGAGAAGGAGAAGAAGGAGGGAGGGAGGGAGAGAGGGAGGGAGGGAGGGAGGGAGGGAGGAGGAGGAGGAGGAGGAGGAGGAGGAGGAGGAGGAGGAGGAGGAGGAGGAGGAGGAGGAGAGAGACCAAGCCCACACCGGGAGAGAGCAAAAGAGGAAGATGGCGAGTGGAGGTCAGAGGTAAAAAAGGAGTGGGCGTGGCTAGGGCAGGGACCGAAAGAATAACAGTATGTGATTTCTAGAGAGAGTAAATCATGTTCGATATAGGAAGATAGAGAAGGCAGTGAGCACTTACGGCACCAGTGTGTAAGTAACTGGTTTGGAAAACTCTAAACTGACCTCCGTGTCACTCAGCAGGTTTGTGCTATAACATCCCCAGAACATAGTCATAAAAGAAGCATACACCTGACAATTCGACTCATCTCGTTTACCAGAAGTAAGCAAGTGTAGGGGCTAGGAATAACTTAAAAACGCACATCTGCTCAGAATAACAAAGGATGGGTGGAAGAATGAAGGTCGGGGTTAAGATGCTGTGATGTTTGAACCGAGGTAGGCAGAGCACCAGTGACGGACAGCAGAGGGACCGAACAAAGCCTGCGCTCTGCCCTCCCTGGGTGGGGTTGGCCTTGGCTAAACCATAGGAACACATCTTGCACATGAAATCTCGCAAATGTTTAGGTCTAATATTAGACACATGTGGGTTCTTTTCATGCTTGAAATGCATTGCAGTGGCTTATCGCAGTAGATATGAGTGGAAAGGCAGCGATGAATTTGTGGAGCCTCAGAAGACCGTCTTCCAGCCCGACGGTTCTGATGCTGCTTAGAAGGTCATGTGCTGTTGTTTGTGCCACATTCTGCTCCAGGAGAAAGCTGCCGTTTTCCCAGGAGTCCTTGCTCTGCCACGTTGTCCCACAGTCATTTGTACCGACCAAATAGATGCAAATACATGACCCTCCACCCCACTTTGGGGTGTGCAAAGCCATAGAAGACAAGGCACTAAGAATGGCAATAGCTCATAGCAAAAAAGAGCTAAATGAGGCCTTATGAGCAGAAGGCACAAACAAAGAAGAAAAACGATGTTTATTAAGAGACCAGTTTGCTTCCAGGTGAGTTCATCTCATTAGATCTTAATCCTAGCATCAGTTCTTCCTGTAGATGATGCCTACTGTACAGATGGGGACACCGATGTTTGGGGCAATGAGGTGGCTTCCCAAGGTAACACAGCAGCCAACGCCATAGTCAACGTCTGATCCCAAAGCTGATGCTCCTCCCACCCCTCAGTGGTTCCCAACCCTGAGGGCATGTCACAATCATCTCACATGTGTTTAAGTAACAGAAATACTGGTCTCGGAGTCCCTGTGTGTGAGGCCTCAGAGCAGGCATCTGTTTTCCTCATCCTCTCCCAGGGGGTCTATGTACAATCAGAATTCAGAGCCCCTGGCCACATTGCAAGCATAGTCAGAGACCCACACTAAGGCGTTTACATTTTCACTGTGGAAAACACAACTTTAAAAAGCCAAGAGATGGATCCAGAATAGACAGGAAGTGGAAGTGCAGGTTGAGTTGACTTCCTTCTTCCCGCAGTTGCTACACTAGGGTTTCCCTTTTTACTCGATGCATGGTTTATTGGCAGTGGCGCTCCTTCATGATGGGTAATTTAAAAAACCCTTCTGTTGGTGCACCGGTACGAGGCTCAATGACAAGTTCCCTGTAGACTCTTCTATATCATTTATTTGGGTAGGGTGACAGGACAGATATGCCACCAACTTTTCCTGACTCCCCATTAGATTCTGAAGCAATTAGAAGAGATTCCAAGTGGTGGAAACTGTCCCTGGAGTTTGAGATACACCTGTTTTCCAGAATCAAGTTTCTCATCAGCGAGGTCTTAAGAATTTCGAAGTGACATGTGCTTGCCAACGAGGAGGGCGACGCAGAAGCCAGCTGTTTGGTTTCAAGAAATGAATCATTTAAATGCTTTAAGAGTGTCGCACCCCCTTCTCCACACAGCTGTGCCACGTGACAAGCTTTGTGCCCTGTTGACCCCGCAGCCTACGTCTGTCCAATAGTGATGTCTTGCAATGGAATGCCTTCGCGAGGATGGGATGGCACTACAAGCTGTTGACTCACAGGAAATAGTGTTGTTCGAAACCCAAGACACTGGAGTGACTTGGATTGCTATGGAATCATTCTCAAATCGTTTTCAGAGTGTTCATGTTTTATTTATGTATTCTGCAGGCTTTTCCTTTTGAATGGCCAGTCTATAAGGAATGTACGGTTCCTGCTGAGAGGATCTCTTAGCGACACTTCCAGGAGAGAGACTCGCCATCTTTTGAATAGATTGTGCTGATTTGGAAGACACAGACGTCCTATTTCTTGGTCTCATGTCACAGTATCATGCCCTCAATCAAGAGAACTTTTACAGGGCGAATGAATGAAGGCAGTTCTCACAGGCCATCTGCCTGCAGAATATAATATTTTTCAAACCTTCATATTCCTGTCTGCAGATTTAATGGGCTTTTTTTTTTTTCTCTGACCATGCGTCTTTGACTGTGTCCACACTCACAGTCCAAGGTCATCACGGCTTTACAATCAGATGGGAGTGGAGTGATATTTTCCGTCGGAAAGTTAATCTGCCATCTTCACAAATGATAAAACCAGGCTTCCGTGTGCGAGCAATGAAAAGGCAATGGAAGCACACTGGTGTTTGAACTTGAAAGCTGTTTCTGAAATAATTGCTTGGCTGGACTACTACTGGGCATGATGAACCCTCACGAAAACAAAACAAAATAATCCCTCGGCAGCCTCTGTTTTAAGAACAGAAAACCAGTGAGATTGAGCCATAGGCATTTTGCCATTTGGATCTTCCTTCAGATGGTTTTGGCTGCCTGCAAGGATTCCTGACCATTCTTTTTTTTTTTAATTTTTTTTCTCGTCTAATTCTTTTATTTTAATTTTTTTAAATTTATTTATTTATTAAAGATGCCTGCCTCCTCCTCACCACCACCTCCCATTTCCCTTCCCCTCCCCCATCAAATCCCCCTCCCTCATCAGCCCAAAGAGCAATCAGGGTTCCCTGCCCTGTGGGAAGTCCAAGGACCACCCACCTCCATCCAGGTCTAGTAAAGTGAGCATCCAAACTGCCTAGGCTCCCACAAAGCCAGTACGTGCAGTAGGATCAAAAACCCATTGCCTTTGTTCTTGAGTTCTCAGTAGTCCTCATTGTCCGCTATGTTCAGCGAGTCCGGTTTTATCCCATGTTTTTTCAGACCCGGGCCAGCTGGCCTTGGTGAGTTCCTGATAGAACATCCCCATTGTCTTAAAGGTGTTTTATTTTTATTTATTTATTATTATTATTATTATTATTATTATTATTATTATTATTATTATTATTATTATTATTATTATATACAGAGCTAGTTCCAGGACAGGCTCCAAAGCCACAGAGAAACCCTGTCTCGAAAAAGCCAAAAAAAAAAAAAAAAAAAAAGGTGTTTTCTCTTGACAGATCTCCTGCCTTGTAGCCCAGCCCTGCTCAGCAGCGCCCCCAAGGGGCAGCATCCAGCTGCTAGTCAGCAGTCAGGGGAGGTGTGCCTGCTCACAGGGACTGCTGCCCCCTGTAGGTGAAAGAGTTTAATGGTTTTGGAAACAACAAAAACAAAAAACCTGACATTACCTTTTCTCCTTTTGGGCCACCAGCTTCGTGTTCACCAGTTCCCTGGGGAAACAAACAAACAAACAAAAAAGTCCAGTTGTTTTTAATGCATTCAGTCTTTAAAAGCAGCTAGCCAAATGTTAGTACTTCATGTTTTATGTATTCTGTGTAACACTTCGGCAGACATTTTTGTCATTCTCATTCTTTATTCCTGTTAATGTAATGAATATTCAATCTTGTTAAAATACCGCTAAATAAATATCTCCAGCGCCGGAGACCCCGTTTGTTCTTTCCTGGTGATCTCTACAGGGGAAACATCACAACTCAAGGGCCTGACTCCCTTCTCCATATGCGTACCAGCCAAACTCAAGTTGCTGTCTGACGCTCCTGCTTTTTCTATCGCAAATATTTATTGCCTTAATTTGACTCTGCTCACCCTGGGAGGATGATTGTGCTTGTCAGCATGCAGAAAAGGTTAAATATAAATTGCTAAGAAACACTTAGGCCTCAGAACCCCCTGGGTGTTGAGAGACAGAGACCATTATTAAAGACCGGAAGAGGACAGACAGGCTCTCATTAGTGAATTTCAACAAGTGTGGTCCAGAAATCCTCCACCGAAAATTTAAGCTGTGCAGAACCTGTAACTGGACACCTCAGAACTGCAGCCAGGTGACCCCGGCCTTTGCCTAGCACCAAATATTGACCAGTCAGGACTCCCCTAATCTGCACAGTAGAGACAGAAAACTGAAAATGACATGTGCATGTGGCTCGTGCTAACCTCCCAGACCCCAGCGCTGACCGGTTATGAATGTCCCCTTTCCTGCAGAAGGAATTGCAGGCTGGGAAGCATAGTAAGTCACCCTGCTGGGATCAGGACTTCTCCGAAGTAGGGTCCTGCCTATCACTGCCTTGGTGGCTACTGGTTCTTCTGTTACAGGGCATACTGACTGCTCTTATGATGGTTTAATGAATAAACCTAATTCTCTTCTTCTCTGGTTTAGAGTGAATTTGTCTGTTGATCACCAATATGCCCCGTGTGTGCCGTGCCTCTGCCTTCTCAAAAAATGCTATCATTGCTGTTATATGAAAATGGACAGTTTATGTAAGCTGTAGCTGAAGTTGGCCAAATTCTTCAAACGTTTTATCTTGCCTTGGTCAGTCCACCTGTTCTATCTTCTGCAGACACAACAGAAAACACTGTTACCACCAGAGACTTGCTTCCCATTCTTGAACAACTTTTCCAAGATCTAAATGGCCTCAGTGTTCCCAGCAGCCCGGGTAATTGATGCAGTACTAACTTCAGACACACTTTCTCTGACTCTAGCTTCCCTGCTCTTAGAGCATCTACTGTAGGAAACTTGTGCTCTCATGGTTTGAAGAATTCCTGTCCTGGGCTTACTGTGATCTCTGAGTGGAACCTGAGCTGCCCCTGTCCCTCTTTGGGCTCCCTCTTCTGATCTTTATCTCTGTCTCGGGCTTTTTTCCTTCTCTCCCCATCTAACTGTAGAAGGTTGCTCTTCCTTCAGACTTGGCTCTTGGTTAGGGTATTGTTTAGACAAACAGAAGTTCATAAGCCTATCATGTCTCTTCTTCTCTCTGTTTTAGACTTATGTATCTAATTCTAGAAGCAATTCATACTCAAAAAATTAAAATATAGAATGAGAACCATGCACACATACATATGAGAAGAAAAGACGGGGTGACACGAACTTTAACACTGATTAATCCAGAAGTAGAGGAATGACAGTGACTGTCTTCACAAAGTATTCCTGAATAGCTTTTAAAAAATATTAATTTTACTTTATGATTGAAAAATAATTAGGGGATGAGAGCTGCACTTATCCCTCTTGTCTACAGAAGCTAGCCCGTTAAATCTTGTATTGTCTTATATCCCCTTTCCCCTTTTTCTGAGACAGGCTCTCATGTGGCTTAGACAGTGACTTAGTAAGCTTAAGTGGCCTTAAACTTACCATGTAGCCATGCCTGGCCCCGAACTCCTGATTCTCCTGTCTTGACCTTTCTAGTGCTGGGATTATAGGCACGGGCCACCATGCATGCCTTCATCAGTTTTTTTTTTTCTTGTCCCTGTTGGCCATCTGGTCTAGCCTCCCTAATCTACACAGAAGCAAACTCCAGATAGTTCCTGAAAACACTAGTCACTTTGACATGGTGTCAGTCACTGTTCCTAAAACATCAGCATGTCCCCCTAGCTGTACTTTTGCTTGGATATTTTCAGGGATGCTGGAATGTGCTTTTGTCTTTACACATGACCTTTAGATTTTGAAGCTCCAGGTGCATGGAGCACAGGGCAGAAGAGCATGGAGTATCTCTGGTGAGGGTTTATCCTGGTGTATGCCAGCAAACTCCAGGGTACCATACCATAGCTGAGGTAGTTTGGATATAGTAATTTCCCTGTAGCCTCAAGTCATACTGTTCTAATAGTATTCCCAAATTTTGATTTTCTGATGGCTTTAGTCTAGAAAGTCATCAAGATCATCAGAACACGGTATACTTGTTTTACTCTGTAACCAGGTCAAGAAATCCAGTTATTCCTTGGGAAAGTGGAGGAAACCATGCATTTAATCTTGACTGTCATCTTGATGAGATTTAGAATCACCATGGAAACTGATCTCTGGGAATGTCTGTGTAGGGGTAATCTAGACTAGGGAAACTGAGGTGGGAAGACCCACCCTGAATATGGGTGAGACCATCCCATAGGGCTGAGGTTCTGGACTGAATAGAAAGGAGAAAGTGAGCTGAGAACCGGTATCCATCTCTTGCTGCTTCTTGGGGGCTGCTGCAATGGGACCTGCTGCCTCGAGCTGTTACTGCTGTGACCTCCCTGTCATCTACCTGCCAGCCCCAGAAAACCCTCCTTTCCTTAATTGCTTCTCTCAGGCATTTTGTCACAGCAGCAAGACAAGCAACTAATTCAGGAAATTAGGATTTAAAGTTTAGTTTTTAAAAAAACTCTTTAGGGACCAGAAGGGTTGACACCAAGGAAGGCTTTGTTTTATATATCCTTGTTAGATTTAATTCTGTGTTTGAAAAGACCTTGGAGTCTGTTTTTGGACAAGAGTTTTCCGTCCTTTGTAGTCTGTGAACATCAGTGCGAAGTTATACTTTGATACACGGAAGGGAAATAGATGATTTTGCTATCATTTGTTTTGGATCAACTGCTTGGAGAAGGGAACACTGGGATTGGTTGCTGGGAGGTATTGCATCAATCTCCAACAGCTCAAACTGAGCCTCATGATGGCACAAGATGATATTACTGGGCATTTTCAATGTCGATCTTTGAAAACATATCAGATGTATGCCGCACTAGTACTCAGCGCTCAGTCTACATAGAGAGCACTCCACTTCCGTGTACGGAGCTCAATGCTCAGTCTACATAGAGAGCATTCAACTTCCGTCTACGGAGCTCAGTGCTCAGTCTGCATAGAGAGCACTCCACTTCCCTGTACGGAGCTCAGTGCTCAGTCTGCATTAAGAGCACTCCACTTCCGTCTACGGAGCTCATGACTTTAAAAGGTGATGGAACCTATCTAAAGGTGACTAAAATTTCCAGAGATAAAGACAATGAAGAACAGCGTGCCTTGGTAGTGAGCAGACTTTCCTTCGGAGGACAAGGGAGTTGATGTTGCTTGCAACCAACCCAACAGGATAAGAGCAACTGTCTGAAAATGATTTCTGTCAGATGAGGGAAATTTACTCTCTTTTCCATCATTGCACATGAGAACACACATGTAATCCTTCCAACTTCACCCTCCAGTGAATCGCTCTCATTTTCCTCTCTCTTCTCCCTTTTTCCTATTATTTTTGATTTGTGCTGTGAAGGGAGAGGTTTCTTAGGCCCGTGGTTCTCCTTTGGGTGCGACAGGGAAATGCAAGCGCAGGCTGCTGGAATGAGGAACAAGCCATCAGTCTTTTAGTCTGGAGCAGGGAGGGGACATGTTTGAGGAGTGTGCTTGCTGCCCGCCCTCCCCTGAGCAGCTGCCTCAGCAGAATCTGGGCTGTGCACCAGCCATAGCTCCTGCCAGAGGGAGAGCTGAGGTCCAGGACTCGACGCAGGCGTCACATAAATCAATGCCAATTTAAAAGGGAAGATTGTTTTAACCTTGGAGTGTCACTTTATATGTCTCAATACATGGTCCATTATTTAATCTCAGCTCCTCCTCCTCCACTCTGCTCATTTGTTATAGCCAGACCATCAGGCGTGCAACAAACTGCAAAACGCAACAACCTTACTATCCCAGACCAGATGGGGGTGTCAGGGGCAGTGCCGAGAGAAAAATGCATCTGGCTCATCACAGCACACTTGGCCCTTTGCTTTGTGAAGAAGACACGGTGACAATACAAAAATAGCATTCCTGAGTTCGAGACCAGCCTGGTCTACAAGAGCTAGTTCCAGGACAGGCTCCAAAACCACAGAGAAACCCTGTCTCGAAAAACCAAAAAAAAAAAAAAAAAAAAAAAAAATAGCATTCCGTGTGGGTCACGGGGGAGGGGCTCCCTATCGATCCTTGTGGGACCTCAGCGTAGGCGCCCCATCTACTCTCTTGAGGAAACAGAATAAACTGTTTAATAAGCTACCTCCCAACAATCACAATAGACATAAACACTTCTGACTCAAAAGGGTTCTGTTGCGTTATTTCGGGGAAAAAGCAGCTTTGGTTCCTCTCCCTGTACTCTCATCTTCCAGCCCCAAAGTCACATGCAGAGCACACGTGAACTAACGTGAAGCTCAGCTCGTAGTAGCGACGATAGTAACGGAGGTTCTTTTAGGAGAGACAACAGCTGAGCTCCAGGTACCGGTGTGCAACTCTCAAAGCTCCCCACTCAGCTGCTAAGCTCAGTTCCCCTTAAAGCAAGTATAACTTTAAAGTCTGAAAATTAACGTTTTCAACTTCAGTCTCTAAAGTACAAAGGTTCCATATATTTTCATTTAAGGGCAAAGCGACTCATCAGCAAGAAAAAGTATATCTAGAACTAGTGTTGGGAGACCTGGAAAGACCCAAGCCTTAAAAGTTTCGCAAAAGTTAGCAAAAATTTAAGCAGCTGAGCAGCGACTTGGTACATCTGTACTGATGGGGAGAGGGACAGATTATAGCACCTCAACTCTTCTAGCTGACTTGTGACATCAACTTATTCTCATTATTTTGAAGCTTTTATTGTAAGTCCTATTTTATAACAGTAGAGGTCATTACAAGTGTCCTTACGCTGATTCAATTTAGATACCCTTCAGGCTTACATTGTTTTTTTAAAACTTGCCAGCTTATGTTTAAAAAAAAAGTTGGTATCAATTTAGTTAAGATATTTAATAGTCGGGAAACACTTTAACCATCCTAACATAGCACTCCCTGGAAAATCTAAGATTCAAGACTGGATCATGATCTTAAAATTATCAAGAGCCAACAGAGTGCTTACATGTTTGATTTTAAATTTGTCAATTATGGATTTCCCAGGCCTTTCCATTAAATTTAATTTGGCGAACAAAAGACTGAGATTTTTAAATTAATCAATTTGTCCTTGGAAAGCAATGAAAAGGTAGTTTTGAGCACCAGGTGTCTTCAAGACTTGATTTGGGAGCTTGAAGAATAGAAAGAACACTAGCTCCTCTGGCAGAAGGCCAAAGTTCAATTCCCAGCACCCGTACAGTGTGGCTCACAACTATTTGAAACTCTGTTTACAAGGTATCTGACACCTTCTTCTGGCCTCTGTGGGCACCAGACATGTGTGTTACACACACACACACACACACACACACACACACACACACACACACAGAAAAATAAGTAAATCCTGAAAAAAAAGACTTGATTTGGAATACAGGTTCTTGGAAATGTGTGAACAAAGGTGCAGTATTGGTTCCAGAAACATATAGGGAACAAATGCCAGAAAACAAAGCAAAAACACAAGGGTCTGTCTCTACTTTTTTCTGTGGTACAAGGTATGAGCGATGAGCTGGTAGCTACAGAAAGGACCCCTTGCTGTCCTTTTGGGCAATGAAAGACAAAATGACACTGTATTGGTTTCTCCATGTGATTAGACCCCATGTGTTGTTCTTGAACGATGAACCCATCAGTGACTTCATTCCTACCTGTGTAGTCATCAGCTCGGGTACACTCAGGAGCTAGGCACTCCAGTGCTTCCATGGCAGTAGTCTTTGTTCCAGGTGTGGTGAAAGAAGAAGTTACAAGCTAGTCCTATCCATCCCTGGGGAGGCTCTCACCCTTCATCTATGGACGTGTGCCTGGGACCTGTGTCTGGAGAGGTTCAGTTGTGGTATGACCCAGAGCTTCAGATAACAAATAATTTTTTCTAGCTCTTCATTATCAAACTATGAACTATGACTTCAAACTCTCTAAAACCCAACTCTTGGTTTATAATATGTCTAGGAACCTTTTAAAGATTTAAATTGGGAAACATAATGTTCAGTATGGGAAAATGTTTTGAGCATATGTCTCAAGGTCTGAGATGTTAGGAATTAAAAATGCTTTTGCCCCCTACACATATAACCACATAAAGATCTCTGCACCCATTAGCTGTGTGAATAAAGAAGCTGTACCTTATTGACGTAGCTGCCAAAAGTCTGCTGTAGTCCTTGCAGCCCAGGAGGTCCCTGCAGGAGAAAGCAAAGACAAACACATTTCCTGAAACACTGTGTTTTTAAATAATACACCCAGAATCTATTTTGTCAAATATTCTATTGAATAAAGAATTTCATGGTTATCAACATAGAATCAGATTTCTAAAGTTATTTTTTCTACGTTAAGTCTTATATGAACCGGAAGTACAGTCATAAGTGGCAACAGGAAACATTTACATGTTCAAGCATCATCAAACTCTCTACTAAAAGGAATTCTACCCACTATTCCAGGAAGGACGTCATAACTTCAGTTTATTTCTGTGCTTTTCACAGGATGGAATGAGTGTTTTGCAGAAATGCACAGTACCACATATTGTTAACATAAAATGTGGGGAAGTACATTTTTTTTTCTGTTGATTTACTCTTTAGAATTGTTTGAAATGGGATACACATGAATCCTAAAATGGGATACATATTTTAGACCAGGAACAGACATGTAAAACCTTACTTCTAAGGCATTTTAATACTGGCAGTTATTGTCTTGGGACTATTTGCTTGGCATTATATCCAGCTTCGGCTGGATAGAAATATTAAGTAGACAACCGTCCATCTCTAGAGCTACCAGGAAAAGAGGTAGAGAAGAGTTCTCTAAGATTTTTAAAGGTTACATTTTTGAGAGAGAATTATAAGAAAGACCAAGTTTAGCATATTTTATGAAGGAGCTGCAGTCAAGTTAGACTGAGCTATCTCAGACAGGAGATGCATATACTTCATCTAGACCTCAAAATCTAGGAGGAGAGAAAATCCTACAGAGGCAAAATTCCCCGTGTTTTACCTAAGAAGATAAATTAGATGATTGAACAAATTAAGGAGCCCCATTGAGCAAAGAATATTTTTAAAGAGAGAACTTAAGTTTTGAAATGTCAAGAAAAATATTTGAAGAAACAATAGCTAGTTGTGTTCTGATTCAGGTTAAGATCTTAGGAGTGTGGACATACTTAATGCAGGCTAACATTTTTTTTTGCCAGGTGTTTCCTACAAATGGCTTGTGTTTGAAGATCATTTAAATATGAAATCTTGGTATTGTGTCAGTAAACACAGAGGACATGAGGGTGGGGTGATGGATTCCTGGGAGCAAGTTGCTGTAATACTTGAGACAATAATGGGGCCTGCAAGCATTTGAGCTGGCTGTGATCAGAAAGATGATGCTGTTACCTTGCTTGGAAAAAAAAATAGAGCCAAAGAATTCTCATGATGTCATGTACTTTTCCATCATACAACCTTGTGTAAAATATTCCAGGTTAGTTAGATGAAATAATGAGGAAGTCAACCATTGAATTGAGGGCAGCTGTAGACTTTCTAGCCCAAAACATAGAGTTAATAACTTATTCTTCACAGGAGACAAGCTATTCCATATATGTTAATACCATACATATTCCATATATGTTATTCTTTCTGAAAACATATATGAGGCAAGGAGAAATTTTGGACACCATGAGTAACAGCATCGACTATGTGTTAAAGCACTAAGGAGTCTAAGTGTCAAGAATTCAGTCTGTGTGTTCATGATAGGAACCTTTATAGGCAATTACTGTGATACGATGAATTAATTTAGTTTCATATGCCTTCTTCAAGTTTGAGAATTGATTATGATGGCTTCTAAGTAGAGTAGAACAATTAAAAATATTGCCTCTTGAATAGAGTCTAAGGATCAATCAAATACTAACATTCCAAATTTATATGGTGCTAATTGTGTGCCATTTATTATGATTTAACTCATTAAGTTCTTGCAATGCCATTGCAATAAATGTGCCATCACTGTTTATGATTCAAAGATAAAGAAAGAGAAAGTTAGAGTTGTTAATTGGCTCAAACTCAAATCACTGTCATCTGGTTAGGCTAAAATTAAAGTCATTTTTGACCTATTCTTTTTCTGTTGCAACTGATGTGTATTCATTGTACATAGTGCCACGTTTCATGAGAACAGCTTCTTTCAAGTGTATCATGTATTCAGTCATATTTATTGTCCAGCATCCCAACCTCATTCTCTTTCTTCCTGCTGGACTTATCCCTGTATCTTCTGTTTTCATCGTGTGTGTATGGGAGGGGGGAGGGCGTGTTTAAGCATCTATATAAAATCTAGGACCCAAAAAATGAGAGAAATCATTTGATATTTGTCTTTCTGATTCTGACTTTTGTTTAAAATGATAATTCCAATTTGCATTTACTTTCTACTAAGTAACCTAATTTAATTCTTTATGGTTGACTAGAACTTCATTGAGCATACATGTATAAACATTTTCTTTCCTTCTTTATCTACTGGTGGATACCAAGGAAGATTTTACTGCTGGCTGATATGAATAGTGCTTTAATAAACATGATATGCAAAAGTCTTTCTTATTAACTCAACATCCTTTGGGTATATTCCCATAAGTGGAATATCTGGGTTATAAGGTAGATATATTTCTGTGTTTTGGGGACCCTCTGTACTAATTACCATAGTGGCTGCACTGACTTACATCCCAACTAGTAGTATATAGGGATTCCTTTCTTCATATCTAAAATTTTGTTGTCAATTATTTTCTTAGTTGTAGCCATTCTAATTAGAATAAAGTAGAATCTCAATGTAGTTTTAATTTTCATTTCTTTGATGTCCAAGAATGTTGAACATATTTTTATTATCAATTTGTGTTTCATCTTTTGGTAACTGACTGCTCATTTTAATAGCCCTTTTATTGGCTGGGTTGGGTTTTTTTTTTTTTTTGTTTAGTTTGTTGAGTTCTTTCTCTCCCATTCTATAGGCTGTTCTTCACTCTATTTGCTGTTTTCTTTGAGGTACAAAAGCTTTTAGATGTTGTGAATTGCTGTTGTTGGCAGTACTTCCTGAGAAGCCTGTGTCGTGATGTGTTAACTGTTTCAGAGATTTGAGTCTTACAGTAATGTCTTTGATCCATTTGGAATTAGATATATTTTTGGATTTTTGTACAGGTTGCAAGTGAGGCAGAGATGTCTCCAGTTTCATTTTTCTATATATGGATATCCAGTGTCTCCAACACCATTTGTTAAAAGAGACCGTCATTCCCCCAATGTATGTTTTTGCCATATGTGTCAAAAACTAGATATCTTTATCTATTTCATGACTGTATGTCTGGTTATTCTTTTCCTTTGCTAATACCATGTTAATTTTCTTTCTTTTTTAATTTAAAATGAATTTTATTTTCATGCAGCATATTCTGATCACTGTTTCCCTCCCTCATCTCCTCCCAGATCCCTCCCACTTTACCACTATTCCAAATCTGTTTTCTATTTTTTTATCTTTAGAAAACAAATGGGCACAAAGTAAAAACAAAACAGGACAAAATAAAACCAACCAACTAAATAGACAACACCAACAACACCAACAAAACAAAGAAAAAGCAGAAGAAACATATGCATACATAGAAACAGAACCCCCAATCAGAAACCATAATATACGAGCAAAAGATCAGCACGGTAAAAAAAAAAATCTCAAACAAAGCACTATGAGACAAAACAGTCCACAAAATTATATCTGAATTTGCTTCACGTTGTTTATCTACCATTGGCCATGGGTTCTTCCCTTCAGTTGGTTTGTATTCCCAGTGAGACTCCTTTGGAGAACTCAGGCTGCTTGTCAAGGCTATAAGCTTTCTCCACAAGCTGATGGGAAAGCCCTACTGTTGAAGACAATACCTATGCAAATCACTGAATGAGGGGAAAGATTGGGTGCCTGCCTTGAGCCTTTGCCTCTCCTGACTCGTGTTTCGTGGTACTGGAAGGTACTGTGGACACTCTTAGAGTAGAAAGGTAAACACCAAATCTGTAGTGTAACATGAAGTCAGATATTATAATACTTCCAGCTTTGTTCTTTCTTCTTCAGATTACTGTGACTATCTGGAATATTTTTGTGGCTCCATGTGAATTTCAGAATCATTTTTTTTCTAGTTTGATTTCTCTGTAGAATAGCACTGAAATTTTAATAGAATTTCATTCAGTGTGTAGATTATTTTTGATAATACAGCCATTTTCATAATATTATTTCTGTTGATCTCTGAGCATGGAAGATGGTGATGGCTAATTGCTGCTTGTCAGCCTGACACATCTGGGAAGAGAGACATTCAGCTGAGGAACTGACTCTATCAGATTGACCTGTGGGCACATCTATAGGGATTTTCTTAATTGTTTGCTGATGTAGGAGCAATTGGCCCATTGTGAACAGTGCCGTCCTTAGGCAGGTAGACCTGTGCTATGAGAGAAAGTTGGCTGAGCAAGACAAGGGGAAGCAAATCAGTAAGTAGTTTTTCTCCATTGTCTGTTTCAGTTCTTGCCTCTTGGACCCTGTGTTGGCTTCCTTTGATGATGGACTATAACCTATAAGAAAAATACATGACCCCACGAGTTGCTTTTGGTTGTGGTGTTTATCACAGCAACAGGTATCAAATCAGAAAAGAAATTTCCATCAGTAAAGTGAGATGTTGGTGTGATCGGCCTAACTATGTTTTTTGTTCTTCTTTTCTTTCTGTCTTTGTATTGTGATGACATTTGAAACATTAGGTTAGAAAAGTCAGTGAGTGGTGACCAGAGCTTAATAGGCTCTTATTGTGGGGGTTTAGAAGATAATGTTGAGGGAGAGGAACAGAGAAAAATGGATACCTCAATAAAATCAATTTTAAAAAGTTAAACAACAACAACAAAAAAAGGAAGATAACGTTGAGAGCGCACGGGCAGTAAAGTCTGGCTTTGCAAATTTTAGAAGCAACTTAAATATGTTGAATTAAGAATCTGTGAAAGTTACCCCTGATAACGGGGAAGGGAGGAGGAGGGGAAGGAGAGGGAAGCAGATGAAGAGGGACTTGGCTTGAGGCTGGGCTTGCTCTCTGTCTTGCACAATTGAAAAGTGTACCAGCCCAGGAGGTGCAAATCCTTCTCCTGGGTTTGGATAACACTGGCAAGACAACTCTGCTGAAGCAGCTCTCGTCTGAAAGCACCAGTCAGGTTACACTTACACAGGGTTC